GTGACAATTCGGAAAGGGCCCAAGTTTCATGCTTCTTGCGGTCGGCGCGGCGATATTGCGTAATCGCGGTCGGCGCGAGAATGGTCCGCGGAGGGTCTGAGCGCCCAGCCGACCGCGTTGGGTTGCAACCATAGTTGCAACGTAATATTTACAGTCTATGCGTTGCAATGATTGGCTACAGGGCCCGGAAGTACTTTCTTCTGGCCGTGTTGAGCAATCAGAGCGCTCTGACCGCAATCAGTATGAAACGACTCGATGTTTGCAGGGACCGTGCTCGCCGCGTCATAGACCCCCCAACCCCCTCCAATTATTTTTATTTCAGCTCTAAATAAATCACACAAGATACAAGTTTGCACCCCTTGATAAAGTCATAATATAAATGTTTTTGTAAATTTCCCCGTTGTGGGATAAATAAAAGATTATCTTATCTTAATAAAGCCATGTTATTTTATTCCAGACAATACCGGTTTAAACCAGACTTTAACTCTGAGGAAAGCTCCAGGAAAGCTAATGGCACAGGATCTCTGTATTTGTGTATTTTTGTTGGCCAAACATTTCTGTAAAAGACCGCCTTTATTACTTCTTTTTGCAGTTTGTTGTAACCTGGTAGGTTGCTATTCTGTAAAAGTACCTAAGTGTGACCTGTGGTTCTCAACTCGTCTAGCCTCAGGACCTACCACCATTTCCTCTGAAAAATTGAGACCCAAATTTTAGATATTTTTCGAAAGCCCTTCACAGGGTTTTAAAAAAAAAAAAAAAATTTACACACGTTTTTATCCAGGCACACATTTGCGACCCACTGAAAATGGCTCTGCCAACTGACCCACCAGTTGAAAACCACTGCTCTAGACAAACCTGGATATTACAATGCGAGCAAATTTGAACAACACAATGAAATCTGTCTCAGGAGTTTTCTTTTTGAAGAATTTAATAGAAAACAGGGAAAAGTAGGCATTAAGACTGAAAAAGTGAGAAATAGAAAGAGCATAAAGTTATTAGTTAGAGTCCTTCAGCTCTCTGACGGTGGGGGTGCAGCCCTGCGCACAGCTTTGGCCAAGGCTTGTTGGATGACTGGGTACAGTTTATAGCATCCCTCGATGCAGGTTCGAACCCCCGCTGTCAGAGTCTCTTCAGTCATTTCTCCGTCTGACTGCATCCCAGAAATCTGGTTCAAGCTGGGAAGAAACGCAACAGTCAGACCGCCCTGGTTCTCGCTGCTGAGCGAGCCGCAGCTGTTTTCTTCCATGTAAGAGGGGTCTACCACATACGAGGCACCGTCCTGGCAGATGGAACAACCGAGCACCAGATCATACATTTCTATCCCGGCGTCTGCCAGAGCAAGGGAGGCACATGTGACAGCATGGGCCAGAACTGAACCACTGTTCTCAAGAACCATCACGTTGATCTCGATCTGGGAGCGGGGGTATTTGTGGAGGCAGACGGCTGGCTGCAGACTCTCATGCAGCATCAGGGAGAGATCCTTGTCCTGGCTCCCCTGAATCCAGGAGCCCCTCTCCGAGCAGGAAAAGGGAGCGAAACGCATGTCAGTCGTCAACCTGGACAAACAAAGAGAAACATAAACTTATTTTACAGAAGATATCACATACAGACTAAAAGTGTCTACTTGAAAAGATTATTAAAGGTATAATATTTAATGTAAAAGAATTTTACATTAAAATATCTAAATTAATTAAAATTGACTAAACATGTTATATAAATATATATATATATATTTATTCAGTACTTACTCAAATATTTCCATCAGTTATCAAAACCAGAGAAATTTTATAGTTCATCATGACAGTGGCCATAACAGATCCGCCATGAGAAACACATGTTTATCGTTGCCAAGGAAACACCAGATGTTACAACAAAGACCGCTACATAAGCTAGCGGAAGCTGCTACTGAAAGCTGCCGTACTGTTGCTGTATGTGCTTATGTGATAAACACTTAAAAGAGTTGATTTTCATTGTGGGTGGGGGTTGGAGAAGCAGTGAGAACTCCCATGATTCCCCTCCAGCCTCGACGCTGGCAACGGAATTCACATACTGTACCTTTAAGAAGTTAGGTTGTCAAGATGTGACCTGATACAGTAAAAAAGTATATCTCATGTGTTTCCATTGGACATATATACCATTAACAGTATAAACATGATATAAGCACAAGACTCTATCAAATACACCAGAGTTTGATCAGTTTTTTCTTTACTAAAAAAAAAGATATGATGAGACAACAGGTGTCACGATACCAGGTTCTTAAACTTTGGTATACACTTAATAAAAATGTAATTATACTGATACATGTTTCAAAACCACAGCACCAAAAGTAGACCACAGACGTCTTAAGGCAGCCAATGTTGAGTTTTAATTTCTAAACGTTGCAGGCAAACTCCTGCACACTGTCTTAAATACACATTGGCAACTTATATGTGCACTTTAGACAACTCTCTCACTCTCTCTCTTTACTTACAGCAGCTTTAGGTCTGAGTTTTTTTTTTTAAAGCTTTCCGGTGGATAAGGACACCAAACACCATTCTCTATTACAAATTGGTGTAGTGTTCAGTTGTATCCACTGTGGGTGGATTCCACCACCACAGCACCATTGGGTGGGGTTTCCAGGGCACCTTGGTGCTGTGACACAGACGGAGCAAACTGTGAACCTGAATATTCAGGGAGATGTTCTAAGTTGGATTGTAAAACAGAACCCATTTTAATATGTCGAGACTAGCAGGTCAGTCTTTGTCCGTCAGGTAAATAAGACTCATTATATTCAGAATTTGAGAATTTCTTTTTTACCTTTTGTACTTTCATTTCCTATTTTTGCTTAATGTCATGTTTCTTGAGGATCTATATTCTTCAACATATATTCATATTTAAACTTCTGTTTGCACTAATGATTCAATTTAGTGATTTTTAAATGTCTTCTTTTAATGTTTGTGTCATTTTGTAATGATGCTTATGATGTCTTGTGTGAAGCACTTTGAATCACCTTGTTGCTGAAATGTGCTTATATATGGGTGTTCATCCACAAACATCCATCTCTCCAAGCACTCTATGAACGTTGTGTTGGTAGACAGGCACAGAGAATAGTGTCCGAACCGACCTGCATTCTTCACTGAGCTTCAGCTTGTACACTCTGGATAGAGTAAGGGTCCCTCAGACCAGGCTGAACTGCTATAAACATCCATTTGTGCTGATGTCCTTTAATATTCTGAATAATAATAATAGTAATTTAGGATGATGTGGCAAGGAGTTGTGTAATATGTCAATATGTCACTGCTCTGGGAAGGTGTTTTTATATGTGTGGAATTCTTGCATATTTTGTATGATCCCTATGTATGTACTTTTTAAAAGAAATTATCTTTTAACTGCAGGACAGAGTCCTGAGCACTTACAACCACATATACTTCAGGAAGAAGTACAACCTGTACCCTTCGGGTAGAATTAGGTATCTTCAGTGGTGTAGTGCAGGGTATACGCACACAGGTATACGGAGTATACCCACTTATTTTTCAGTCTCCATAGAGTATACCCACTTCTAAATATCCTCTGATTCACATCATTGATTCATCAACATTATTTCACAGTATGCTGCAATTTGTTTTCCTAGGATGGTGAAGGGATGAACCTCCCTACTCTGTCTCTAATTTGCTAGTGTGCACTAACTAAATATGCAAGAGCAGTCTTAAAGCCATTGTTTTTCTCAGAGGCCATTCATCCTTTGGTAGACGGGCCGCTTAAAATAAGCATTTTTGGGGAAAATTAAGAGTATACCCACTTCTTCAGGCACCACTACATCACTGGGTATCTTATCTTGTAAATAAATGTGCCTTGCCTATTGATGCGGATGCAGTGTACGGACTAAGCCAACCTATATGTTATTATGATATTAATGAAATTGACAGAACAAAGAGTTCGTTATCGTATCAATGGATGAAATGTTACTTTTAATACAGCCAACATTATTCACTTAAGTTGTCATACAAGATCAGCTTAGACTCTGTTCTCCCAGCTTCCAGCAGTGTCACAGAAAATACCAAGTTACATAGACACATAAATACAACCTACTAAGGAATAAAATCAAGTAACCTGTACCGCTGTTTACGGTTTTGTTAATCAGCATTTAAGCAAAGTTGTAGTTTTAAAAATACTTCATACCTTCCAAATTTCATATCTGTCTCATCTTTGCGCTCCGTCTCTCTGGGGCCGTAAACACAGCACATCAACTTGGTGTTTCCAGCCTCGATGTACGCGGAGCCTTTAGCCTGGCTCACCAGCCCGCAGCGGACGAACACCGGCCGGACATCCACTTGATCCCGCTGCCGGCCGTCTGCTCTCGGGCCGTGCGAAGGGGGAGCGGCCGCCGGTTTGCACAAAAACAGTGACGGGCTCTGGGTAACTTCTGGACCGCGAACACGTTTAGTGTCAGTCGGCATGGTGGTGGTGGTGGTGGAGAAGATGCAGCAGCGTGTGAGCGCGAGTCGGACACAAAAATCGGTCCTCCGGAAACACAGCAAACAGATACATGGTTCCGCGATATTTACATCCGGTTACATCTGACAACATCTAAAGTGTGCGTTTGCAATAATAGGAAACATTATTTGAATATCATAAAATTATGACAATGACACATTTGAGCAAAATCGTTGATACATGACATTATGAAAAAAGCCAGACCTCAAACACCAACGCGGATTTGTTGAACGATTAGAAATTCATAAAGACAATTTTAATAATATATATTTTTAAGAACATGTGCTCATCATTTTTCTTTTTTACAACTCCTAATGAAACTTTACATTACACACAATATATATTTATATTGACACCTGTGTCTTTTCCATTGCGTCAGCCAAGCCGGTTTTGTTCGAACCACTGGTGTGGCGGGCTCGTCTAAGATTGACAGCGGGCTCGTCCAATAGAAATTTAGATCAACGGATCTTGCCGGCGCCGCGGACCAATGGGCGGCCGACATAGGCGTGTCCACTCACCTTGTACTTTCCTTCTGTTCGAGCAGCGTGGACTGAAGCTGTGTGTTTGGGAGCAGCAACTGAGTCATTCTACGATAATAAAAACTTCTGTGAGTATTAACGCTTTCTGAGGAGCTATTTAAACAGAGAAAGATTACTGTACCATTCAGAAAAATTGTATTCCAGTCCCAATTGTGCTTTGAAATGTGTCCCAGTTAGAAGTGGCTTGTCTGGGCTAACATCTAGCCTGCTAACGTCGTCTTGTCAAGCTAACTTGTGAGCAGTTTACAATCAGCTGATGATCCAGTAATGCTGCAAACCTGTTTATACAACCACTTTGTTTTGTCTAGTTTGCCTTGAAACTTTTCAGGGCACAATCCCCTGAGAGCTTGTTGACACTGCAGAGGTGTCAAAGTGGTCTGAGGCATGAGAAAGTGAAATAAACCTATTGGACTATGTTAGACTTCTGGACATGTCAAATTATATCTGTATTTATTTGTAGGCACCAAAAGACACCCACTGAGGTAAATAAAGCTAAGTTGTGAAGACAAAATAAAATGAAGCTCCTCTGACTAACATGGAGTTTGAGTTTGTGGACATTGATATGTTTCCCATCCACCTTCTCTTGACACAAAGTGATTTACTGTAACCTCATGTTGTCAGAGGCTCTGATGATACTGTTTCTGTCTCCCTAACAATGTCTTATCTGTCACCCTTATTATTGCAAGCTGCTTCTCCATAATATACTTTTGCAGAGGACACAATTTCCATCCCATCGCCCCAATGTTGCTACTTTCTTTGGTTGCCAACACTGTGTTTTGGTAGTCAGGATGGGGGTGGTGGCTGTTTACCGTCCGCTTTCTGGCCCCAGAGAGCTGAAGGCACCAGCTGTGTGGTTTCCTCTGGCAGCTAGTTTGCGAATGAAATCCCCTCAAGGGAATTCAACTCTGCTGCCTTTTAATTATAGACCAAATACTGTGCTTTATGACACTGTAGATGTGGGGCTTGACACAAGTCCTTATAATGAAATGCTACACTGTTTCAGTTTCTTTAGTGCAATTGCTAATTCAGATAACAAGGGTCGTGACTCGTGGTGGTTGAACCTTTTTACTTATTGGCAAATAAGTTTGAGCAAACATAAATTGAAATGAGCTAGCACCAGAGTTCAGTATAACTTGATTGGTTATGAAAAGAGGTTAAAGTTGAATTCTGCATCTTTCAGTAAGCGCCACAGGTCCACGTCAGTGAGGTTGACTCATCCAGCACACTCAGGTCCTGTGACACACAAGGACAATAGAAGAAGCCACAGAAGAAGCATTTCACTTTACAGACACTTTCACAAAGTATTGGAATTATATTGAGGAAGAAGCAAACTTCAATGCTTGCATCAACGTAAAAAAGAAATTTATTACCACTTTGCTAGCTTTTTATGGACATGATTTCTACTTCTTAAATACATAACACAATGCGTGCAGAAGCTGCAAGTTTTTAAAATGTTAAATATTGCTTATTGCAAATTTGGATTTGGAATATCTAGAGAAAAGCAAGTCCTAATTTTTGACAGGTGGAAATGGCAACCTTTGGGATTTTGTTCTCAAAATTGTTGTCAATTCACACGGGATGCAGGCCCAAGCAGCAAGAAAATTCCTGAATTGCTGTTGCTTTACGAGAAGAGCCCAATGCCAGTTTGATGGAGGGAAATGAGTAGAGCAGAGTCCTTGTGCAGGCTGTGCATTACATTTATTTTTCCTCACCTTCCTCTGTGGCGAGTGTGAGAAAGAAAGACGAGGAATTGGGGGAAACAAAGTCAAATATTTATGTTTGATTTGTCTTCTAATGCAGTATTTCCCCTCCCATTATTTTTATATATATATATATATATATATTTTGTTTAGTTTTTTTTTTTTGTGCCTTTTTAGATAGGATAGTGGATAGAGTCGGAAATCAGGGAAATAAGTCATTTCCTTCAAGTGTTTGTGTCGGCGTCCGCCTGCCACCCCCCCGAAAGCTGTAAACCTAGGAGAAACACTTGTAATGCATTCATTCATGAAACCAAAATGTTCCTGTTTCAAGCTTCTCTCATGTGGTCTGCTGACCAAAGGCAGCAAACCACATATGTCTTTAATATCTTTTGGGTGTTTGAGTGCAAAAAAAAAAAAAAAAATGTCTGTTTGGGTTTTGAGAAAAACTAATGTGCATTTAATGTTAAAGTGAAATGTTTAAAACAAATCTTCTGAACACTCCACTGAGATATCAAATAACCGTGTTGGAATATTAGTTTGTGGAATACAGAAACAAACCTGAGGTTGCAAAAAAAAATGCAGTTGTCTCAGTCAATATTGATGAAACAAAAATGTGAATACGTTGTTTCATTATGTAACAATATATTGTAAGAAACTGCTTCTGTGAATAGGAATCTACAGCAGGTTATTTATCAACAGCTTTGCCCACTGTATGACCAAACACAAAACATGAAAGGGGAGCTAAGTCAACAGTTGTCACAGGTATTATGAATGTGTAACTACTTACGATATACAATGGGTACGGAAAGTATTCAGACCCCTTTATATTTTTCACTCTGTTTCATTGCAGCCATTTGCTAAAATCAAAAAAGTTAATTTTATTTCTCAAATGTACACTCAGCACCCCATCTTGACAGAAAAAAAACAGAAATGTAGAAATTTTTGCAAATTTATTAAAAAAGAAAAACTGAAATATCACATGGTCATAAGTATTCAGACCCTTTGCTCAGTATTGAGTAGAAGCACCCTTTTGAGCTAGTACAGCCATGAGTCTTCTTGGGAATGATGCAACAAGTTTTTCACACCTGGATTTGGGGATCCTCTGCCATTCTTCCTTGCAGATCCTCTCCAGTTCTGTCAGGTTGGATTATGAACGTTGGTGGACAGCCATTTTCAGGTCTCTCCAGAGATGCTCAATTGGGTTTAGGTCAGGGCTCTGGCTGGGCCAGTCAAGAATGGTCACAGAGTTGTTCCGAAGCCACTCCTTTGTTATTTTAGCTGTGTGCTTAGGGTCATTGTCTTGTTGAAAGGTGAACCTTCGGCCCAGTCTGAGGTCCTGAGCACTCTGGAAGAGGTTTTCTTCCAGGATATCTCTGTGCTTGGCCGCATTCATCTTTCCTTCAATTGCAACCAGTCGTCCTGTCCCTGCAGCTTAAACACACCCCCATAGCATGATGCTGCCACCACCATGTTTCACTGTTGGGATTGTATTGGGCAGGTGATGAGCAGTGCCTGGTTTTCTCCACACATACCGCTTAGAATTAAAGCCATAAAGTTCAATCTTGGTCTCATCAGACCAGAGAATCTTCTCATAGTCTGGGAGTCCGTCATGTGTTTTTTGGCAAACTATGTGCGGGCTTTCATATGTCTTGCACTGAGGAGAGGCTTCCATCGGGCCACTCTGTCATAAAGCCCCGACTGGTGGAGGGCTGAAGTGTTAGTTGACTTTGTGGACTTCGTTGACTTAGTTGACTTCGTTGACTTTGTGGTGTTAGTTGACTTTGACTCCCATCTCCCTACTGCATCTCTGGAGCTCAGCCACAGTGATCTTTGGGTTCTTCTTTACCTCTCTCACCAAGGCTCTTCTCCCACGATTGCTCAGTTTGGCTGGACGGCCAGGTCTAGGAAGAGTTCTGGTCGTCCCAAACTTCTTCCATTTAAGGATTATGGAGGCCACTGTGCTCTTACGAATCTTGAGTGCTGCAGAAATTCTTTTGTAACCTTGGCCAGATCTGTGCCTTGCCACAATTCTGTCTCTGAGCTCCTTGGGCAGTTCCTTCGACCTCATGATTCTCATTTGCTCTGACATGCATTGTGAGCTGTAAGGTCTTATATAGACAGGTGTGTGCCTTTCCTAATCAAGTCCAATCAGTTTAATTAAACACAGCTGGACTCCAATGAATGAGCAGAACCATCTCAAGGAGGATCAGAAGAAATGGACAGCATGTGAGTTAAATGAGTGTCACAGCAAAGGGTCTGAATACTTATGACCATGTGAAATTTCAGTTTTTCTTTTTTAATAAATTGGCAAAGATTTCTACATTTCTGTTTTTTTTCTGTCAAGATGGGGTGCTGAGTGTACATTAATGAGAAATAAAATGAACTTTTTTGATTTTAGCAAATGGCTGCAATGAAACAAAGAGTGAAAAATGTAAAGGGGTCTGAATACTTTCCGTACCCACTGTATATGCTCAATGCCTTACCTTACAAGAAGTACAACATTTGCATTTAGCTAACATGTTAAATTTTTTATATTCTAGTGATAATACAAACTAAAGTTCCCATAGTGTGAGCTGTTGTTTTGTTTGGTTGGATGTGTGTCCACTCACAGGTAGCAATTAAAAGCCAAACAGACCTTGAGGCTAAAGCCTGACTTGCTGGATCTAGCAGGTTTTACTGGTTGTAACTAGTTTAATTGCCTTATGGTGCTTTATGACCAAATCTCTTTTAACAACAGTCTATCCCGGTTTAAAACTGAAAACCTCTTCACGATAATGTTGGACTGGCAGTTTATTGTGTCTCTGCTAAGCCTGTTGGAAAAAGCCAGGAGACAGATCACATATTCATACAAAACAAATGTGTGTGCATACATAACCATATAAATGTGTCTTCTGCGATGACATTTAAGCAGTCAGTCAGGTTTTGTAAGGTTCATTAACAGTGCAGGGCTGAGACAGAAAAACATGATCAACTGCCCTCAGTAGCTTTCTCTTCTGCTGCTTGTCATTATTTTCAGGATGCCGTCAAACGTGTAGTTTGTTGAAAATGTCAGAGCAGCGAGAAACAGCTGTCGTCTTTGTTCTGCAGAAAACCTTTAACTCAAAGCCCAGTCAGCTCCGTCTCAGTTGATGTTAAAATTGAAGGTAAAGGGCCTTTGCATATGTTTTTAGCTGCACATTTAATAAACAAAAATGGTCATGGTGTCACTTTGTAGCACAGTCAGTGACCCATAATTATTTAACTGGGTGTATGGACACCCAGTTGCCATACACCCAGTTGCCTCTTCAAACCGGCTTGATGTTTACAATATCATTTTGTTTTTTCTTCAGTGAGTTGGTTCAGAATGGACTCCTCTATGAGTGCAGCCCAAATTCGTCAGAAGTTCATCGACTTCTTCCGTCGCTATGAGCACCACTATGTCCACTCCTCGGCCACCATCCCACTGGACGACCCCACGCTGCTCTTTGCCAACGCTGGCATGAACCAGGTACACCTTCCACGTGTCTCCATGTCTTCCTGTGCCTCTCTCTTCTATAGGCCGGCTCTTTAACATGTACCACCAACTCATTTTCTAATTTGCTGTTTCTGCTTCTTTCTCTTAGTTCAAGCCCATCTTCCTCAACACCATCGATCCGTCCCATCCCATGGCCAAGCTGCGTCGTGCTGCAAACACCCAGAAGTGCATCAGAGCAGGAGGCAAACACAACGACCTGGACGACGTGGGTAAAGATGTCTACCACCACACCTTCTTTGAGATGCTGGGGTCCTGGTCCTTTGGGGACTACTTCAAGGTATTGAACTGTTATTCTTATGACATTTTGAGGCCAATACTTACAGCTAAGACTTACATTTTTTAGTACATAGGAAGCTCAGGCACAGTTGATTGCTGTGTTTGTTTTTGTGTGTTTCAACATCCTTTCTTGCAACATCACTGATTAAATGTGGACAAAATATTAGGAAACTATATTTTATTTAGACAATAACTTAAAATACAGTAACTTTCTCTCCACACATTTTGTCTGCACATCTTTCAGCCCCATGTGAGTTCTCCTTCTTGAGTCATTTTTACGTCTCTGTATTGATTTTTTTCTCTTATTCTTCCTCTTTCCACATTTTGCATCGTGCCCCCTCCCTCTGCAGCACCTGGCCTGTGAGATGGCCTTGGAGCTTCTGACCAAGGAGTTTGGCATTCCCATCGAGCGTCTGTATGTCACCTATTTTGGGGGTAGCACAGAGGCAGGCCTGGAGCCCGACCTGGAATGCAAACAAATCTGGATTGATCTAGGGTGAGTCTGTCTTAGGAAAGAGATGCTTTGTTGAACATGTCAAGTTAGTACATTTCTTTCAGGGCATCTTAAAGAAACTAATCCCCTGCATTCTCTCCTGATAGTTCCTGTAAAATCCTCTATAAATCTTTTACAGAATTTGCATTACATCTCTGCATTACTCCCAAAATAACTGCTACTGTCTCTAATAAGCATCTGTTTAAAGTTATTGCATAATGTTGTGTGTGATCACCTCCCGGAGGAACTGTATTTCCCATTCAGCTTAAGTCCCACTGAGCCACCACTCTGCCTACAACAACAGCCTAGATGTTTATCTCTCTTGCTCTCACCTTGCTTTGAATTTCCCTCGGGATCAATTAAATATCTATCTATCTCTGTCTTAATTTCTCCACCTACTATTTTAAATCACATCTCTTTGTTTCTTATCAAGTCCCAAAACATATAGAAGTTTCCCCTTTGGCTTTGAAACAGAAGCTAGACAAAATTTATAGATTTAAAAAACAAATCGATTAAATTAAATTTAATTTAATAATTAAATTGACTTAAAATCAGATTTTCTGTGATCTCTCTCTTTTTACGGCTCTGCTGTCTTAATATGTAAAATTCACACACATATTGAAGGCGTCTGACTAAGGCTTGTGTGTTTCTTTCAGGATGGATGAGGCTCGCATCCTGCCCGGCAGCATGAAGGACAACTTCTGGGAGATGGGAGACACCGGTCCCTGTGGTCCCTGCAGTGAGATCCACTACGACCGCATCGGAGGGAGAGACGCCTCTCACCTGGTGAACATGGACGATCCCAACGTGCTGGAAATCTGGAACCTGGTGTTCATCCAGTTCAATAGGTAACAGACTGAAACACATTCTGATCAGAGTATGTTTAAAAAACATGAGCAGGATGGTATATTTATCTACTGAATTAATTTATCAGTGTAAACAGACATCTGCAGAAACAATAAAACACTAAGGGGGCGAATGCAAACCTAACCAAGCAGGTAAGATATGAGAGCATCTGAATGTGGACGATTAATCTCGATTCTCTTAAGTTGTTTTCACACATACACTCCTGAAAATATCTAGATCATTTCAGGAGGACTGCTGTGTAGATTCTCCTGACCTGTCTGTTCACATATGCTCCTCACAGTGGTAGACTATGTATGCCAGACGGGAGTCCCTAACATATTTACAAACTACTGTTTCTTGACAGTGATTGAGTGAGGGGTTTGTTTGTTTGTTTTGGCAGAAAGACTTGGCGGATAGTTTAATTTTAATGAATTAATTAATTTTTATCAGGGCTGGGTGGGCAACGATTAAAAGTTTTAATCGCATGAGTTCCTGTAATTAATCACGATTAATTGCTATACTACTATACTTGTACGCAAAATCCAATAATGAACTTTTATTGTGCTTCTCAACTTAAACAATGTAATCAAAGCAAATAAATACAAAACTAAAGCTTATTGCCACTGCAAGGGCATAATGTCATCCTGTTTGTTATATTAAAAGAAAATGCCCAGAAAGGTTTTAAGCTAAGAGGTATAATGAAAATGTCAGGACAAGTGGGGGAGAGTGTGACAGGTCAATTGAGAACATTGATGTTTATTGTTTGGTTATCGGGAACCCCACAAACATATGTTTGTTGTACTTGTCATTTTGAAATTCTTTAGTTTATAATCTTTTTGAATTCATCTTCAAAGTTGCTAATGTTAAGCAGTTGATGTTGACATGTTATTAATTAAATGCGCTGCATAATCTACACCACTAGGTGGAGTCTGTGAGTGACAGTGCCATGCAGGAGTTCAGTTTGAGTTTGTGATGCTCCGGAGTTAGCAAGAAAGCTGTAGTTATTATTCAGCAGCTGAAGAGACTCGTAGGCAGAGTGAATGAAGGTACTGGGTCTTTGTTAAACGCTTAAATAAAGTGAAGACAAGTGAAACGACCTTTCAGCGTCCGCCTGAGTTTCTGGCTGCAACATATTTTGGAGTACTTATCAAGTACTCCGGTGATAAGAAAATTCAACTTCGCAGTGGTTACAAATAACTTCGGCTCTGTCGACTGCGCCGTCTGGAAGAACTTTAAAATGCAAATGGGAATGTAAAAGTTTTGTACATTTCTCCATGCTTGATTATCCGCCAATTCTTTTCTGACTGTTTCCTCTTTCCTGTGAGCGCCGCAGCAGTAAGCAACATACTAGGCTCACTCACGATGGAATTTTATAAAATAAAACCCAGTGAGCAACAGACTTTTACAAAAAGAAAATAAATAATAAAAACTGCGTTAATGCGAGATGAAATAATTGTCGGTGATAATTAATTAATTAGTTAATGCGTTAACGTGCCCAGCCCTAATATTTATGTTAACCATATATATACATACATAAAAGATGTTATTGATTTATATAGGTCTCAGTTCTGGATGGAGTTATTTGCAGACCTCAACGATGCTGGATACTTCAAAAGTTCAAGAGAATGTCCACAGAAACCAAAACTGAGTAATCTACCTCAAATGAGTTCCACAAAACGGGCTGAACATCTTTCTGTCACCACAAACTCCGAATTACTGTCCGCCAACTCTTTCAGCAAAAACAAACAAATTGACTCGACTTGTTGGCTTTCCTGACTGATTTTAAAAAGTGTTCAAGCAACAGTCGGCTTTACAACAACAAATCTAAACACTTCTCTAATCCTAAATTAAGGGTGAAAGAATCTGTACACACCTTTTATTCTTTTGTGTTGTGCACTCGCTTCCTGAACACCCAGTCACCTGTGCAGACGTGTTCAGCTTTTTTGCTATCAAGTGTTTTGATGTTATAGCTGTTCATCTTAGCAGTATGAGAACTTGTCAACTCCACTGTAGAATGAAAGTCCTGTTATGAAATTCAAACACAATTCAAGCACAAAGTAAGAAACGTGTGCTGTGCCAGAACAAAACTTCTTCAATTAAAAGTTCATTCACACACAAATCAATCATTAAATCAGTCTCTGTTTCCTGTCTTGCCTTTTTTTAGAGAATCAGAAACAGAGCTGAAGCCCCTCCCTAAAAAGAGCATCGACACGGGGATGGGTTTGGAGCGGCTGGTGTCCGTGCTACAGAACAAGATGTCGAACTACGACACTGACCTCTTCATCCCTTACTTCAAAGCCATTCAGAAGGTACAGGGAAAAAAAACACCTGATGTGTAACAGAATGAAAACACAAAGCAGAAAATAGAGCAAAGCAATAATTAACTACATCCTCCATTTAATGAGGGAAAAGTAAATTAGAATTGAGGAAGATCTTTGGTTCAATAAACTATCAGCTACTTAAAGGACCAATCTGTAACTTGGGCCCCTAGTGTTTAAAATGGGTACTGCAGTCCAGATTCAAAACATTGCAGTGAGCTGTCTCCCCCCGCCCCCTACTCCCTAGAGTCAATGTGCATGCGGGTTGCCATGTTTTAGAATCTGAAGCTTCAGTGTTTATCCAGCTCTGCATGGGTCTGTAAACATTTCTGCGTTCTAACCTCTCTCCATTTTCCAAAAGCATCTCAAATATTGATCCTAGTTTGAGCACGTTTCTGCTTGTGGAGCTTATTAGAAACATGCAGAGGCTTTTTAGGTCGGGTACAATCACTTCTATCTCAACCACTTCTCTTGCCCGCTTCCATCGCTGCAACACCTGTTGGTTTGCTGTTTGCCTGACAAACCTAGGTATGTCCAAGGTGTGGGGGTGCTTTAAAAGCACCTACCTTATCTGGTCCAAACAAATCCAGAGCATTCAGGACCAGAATCTAAAGTTAGAAGGAGGACATACTGGCTGCTGCATTGTTGTCAGAGAAGCCAGCACTTCAAACTAGTAAGAAAGCTGACAGATATTTAAACAATAGTGTAGAGGGTCTCAGGTAATGGATGTATGCTTTGAACAGTCATTTTGGTCACATGCTGGTGTAGTATTAATTCACACCTAACTAAAACTTTTTTTTTTTTTTAAGATTTATTTTGGGCTTTTCGTGCCTTTTTAATGCAGAGATAGGACAGTGGATAGAGTCGGAAACCAGAGAGAGAGAGCGGGGAATGACATGCGGAAAGGGGCCATGGGTGGAAGCGAACCCGGGCCTACCGGTCGAGACGAGAGTCTCAATACATGGGACGTGCGCCCTAACCATTGCGCCACCAGCGCGCCCCACACCTAACTAAAACTTAAGGAAGAACACAGTTTATAATAACAGCATTCACTATAATGTAATCTATAAATCTGGTCTGACACATTTATGACACAAATCCATGTAGGTAGATCAGATGGTATTTGAGATAATATCTAATTCTCAGTTCTAATATAACTTGTGTGTGTTTTAGGGTACAGGTGCTCGACCTTACACAGGTAAAGTAGGTGCTGAGGATGCTGATGGTATTGACATGGCTTACCGTGTACTGGCTGACCACGCCCGCACCATCACCATCGCCCTCTCAGATGGAGGCCGGCCAGACAACACAGGAAGAGGGTGAGATGACCTTAGACGATGGAATTACTGAGCTGAAAAAGCATCTGTAGTATCTGTAGCAAACTTTGACTTTTCTGATTATAGTTCAAGAATTCAGAAATGCTTCCCATTGATTCAGCTGCTCGTCCTTTAAGTGAAATGTATTTACAAAGTTGGTCTTTGTTCTTTTTGGTGCTTTCAACACGGTAGGTGAGTTTGGTATAAAAGTTAGATCTTCCAAATAAAAGGAGGTTTTATAAAGCGTGCCTCCGAATGCCAAATGCAATGTTTTTCTGGTATGTTTTATTCTGCCTTGTTTTGTAATTTTTTGTTTGCACTGTCTTAAGGTACGTGTTGAGGAGGATCCTGCGTCGTGCTGTCCGTTATTCCCATGAGAAGCTGGGGGCTCAGAAAGGCTTTTTCGCCTCTCTGGTTGATGTGGTGGTCGATTCCCTGGTGAGTTTAGTTTAGGGTGACTGATTGTTGCAGTTTTAGACTGTTCACCTTAAAGTGCCAGATACATACACAGGTCGTTTTGGATACAATTATTTCCAAGCCGATTTAAATTTAGAGATGTTTCAATACCCTACTTCTTGCCCCAGTACTCCTCTAATACTAGTAGTGTGATTAAAAAGAAAAAAAGTGTTAAAATTATTATTCTGAAAGGTTGTATCAGAAGAGCAGCCATCCTCCTGTGAAAATGATGAAAGGAGAACCCTCAAAGCCTTCCTCTGCCACAAAAGAGACTTTTTCCTCAGTCAGTGTGGTTCTTTCTTCAGAGAGGTTTATTTATCTTTTCAGGGTCCTGATAGTTATGAGAATGTGATACTGATGTGCCTAAATAATGTGTAGTTTCATATCTGCATAAGTAAAGCCCCAACACAACTAATCAGATATTTAGAGGCCTTAAAGCAGCTCATTCCACAGAGAGTTCACACTCTGTCAATGTTACAGACTACACGAGGAAGTATTTCCTTATTTGTGAAACTTTTACTAAAGTATAACTTCAAAAGATGCTCCACGTTTCTCATGTTAGTACAGGCAGCTGCTGCTCTACAGAAAAAACTAAAGACGAAAAATAACGACTTAAATCTTGTGAATGTATGGCTTTAATCACGGAATCAATATCTTATGTACATATCCTTTAATAACGGTTGAATAATACAGAATGCTGACATTCTGCTAAATTTAACCAACCCCTCAGTCATGTTTGTTGTTTTTGTTTGTCTCAACATCATTTAGTTTTTTGCCACTTGGTTGTAGTTGGTTGCATAAATGGTTTTCATGGCCTGTTTCTGTTTATGTGCATTTGTTTATTTAGCAATCAAGCTACAAAAAACGAAATAAAAAAACACACTTTTGGCTAAGACGTGTGGCGGTTTTTAATTCCTCTGCTGTGTAGAGAGAAAGGTTTAGACTTGACTTTGTCATTTAAAATGGATTAACTTGAATACAAAAAGTGTGCAGATACCCTTTCCTCCTATATTTACTGCAGCACGGGCATATAGGATCCATCACTATTCAACACATCTCTTCCATCTTGTATTTTTTTTGCCCTTCTCTCTCTCTCTCTCTCTCTCTCTCTCTCGTGCTCTCTCTGATCCTCATCTTTTATTCACGTTCTCCAGGGGGATGCGTTCCCCGAGTTGAAGAAAGACCCAGAAATGGTGAAGGAAGTTATTAATGAGGAGGAGACGCAGTTCCTGAAAACCCTCAGCAGGGGGCGCCGTATCCTCGATAGGAAGATCATGAGCCTGGCAGACTGCAAGACCATCCCAGGTGAGACACGAACAGTTTGATGATGATAATGTCTCATGCGTTGAGGCTTCAGTTTCTTTAAAGAGGACTCCTTTTGTCTCACAGCTTGACGTTCTTTAAGCCATTCTGACTGACATCGAACCTGCTGTAACATATTGTATGTTTATGATGTATAAAAGGTGATGTGCACTATTTACTCTTTATTTTCCCAACAATTTCTCTTTGCACAACTTCATTCGTTTCTTACCTATATAGTTTGAACCTAATTAAATCCCCCCTCCTTTATGGATTCCTTTATTCAGTCATCAATCTGACTAACATCCAAAATGTCCAACCTTTTTTTTAAAATCTATTTTAAATGGTTGTAAATCATGTTCCTCTCTGTCCCAGTGAGTGGCAGCTTCTTATGGCAGCACTCATCTAGAAAAAGCAGGAATGCTGCAAAGATAAAATACAAATCAATAAAACAGTGTCATCACATTTAGACTGCTGAACTGCACCTTATTTTTAGATGTAAATACATGCTGCTGTTCTTATCCTGCACTACAACGAGCCAAATGCAACGAAATTTCGTTCTTATCTGCATTGTAAAGTACAAGTTTGAATGACAATAAAGAAAGTCTAAGTCTAAGAAAGATTAGACTAATGAACAGACACTGTAAATATTGTGTTTTTCACATTTAACTTTTGACTGGTTTATCAAAAAAAAATAGGTCAAAAATAACATTATTACAGTTTCATTCAAAGGAAGTGTCAGTCGCCTATTCCTAAAAAAAATAGAATATAGACTTTTCCTAAAAGTAAAGCCACTCAATCATCACTTCTGGGCCTCGATACATGTGTGGTGGTGATTGTGTCTGCAGAGACTCTGTCCTCTGCCTGGGTTTTTTAACGTTTTTTTTTCGTTGATTTTGGACGTTTCTTGGTGGATCGCCCCAGCCAAATGTGTTTGCCCCAGCCAATGACGGCACGCAGGTGAGTATAAGGGTGCATACAATACAGTGATTGGATGTTATTCAAACTAGCGAATACGATGGATGTGGATGTAGCGGCAAAAAAAGAGGAAAATATAATCTCACTGAGGCGATACCCAGCTTGTTCCAAAGCAAGGGTGAACCTTGTGTTGGCTTTTACCTGAGGATTCAGATTTCAGATTCAGATTCAGATTTTTTTTATTGTCCCACAAGGGGAAATTTGCGTTGCAACAGGAGCACACAGAAGACAAGAAACACAAGGACAACATCGCCATAAAACATGGACCAAAACACATTTAAAAAAATCAGACTACACAGCAAAAATATAAAACCAAATAAAAACAGCGCAATAAAATCAGTCAAGAGCCCATACTAGAATGGAAATTCAAGTTATTAAAGTGCAAAGTGGAGGTGTGCAAATGTGCACTTCAAGTGCAAATGCAGAGTTAGCCTGCTTTCTGTTGGACAGGCAGGTACCACACACCAGCGATTAGCTTGTGCTAGTATGCGGTAGCATGCAGTGTTGGTACAAGCAGTAAACTTACAGACCACATACTTCAGTGAGTGTGAGCTCCTGGTGGCCCAGTTTGAATGTTGTGTTTACAAACTGCGACAAACAATGTTCCTGACTCCACCTTTAAGAGTTTCTTTGGCATTGTAGCTTCAGACAGAAACCTCTCGGACATATAGCCCAAACATTTCGTCTCGTTTTGTCTGTGCTTCCAGGTGACACAGCATGGCTGCTGTACGACACATACGGCTTCCCTCTGGACCTGACGTCCCTCATCGCAGAGGAGAAAGGCATGATGGTGGACCTGGCTGCTTTTGAGGAGGAGAAGAAGGCGGCACAGGTGAGAAGATGACAGGAGGGATGGAGGAAAACTTCTTAAAGTTACAGATTGTTTAAATGAGGATTTCACTGCTCCGTGAGGGGAAACACTGTTTTGTGTCCTCTCCCACGGGGATATTATTTTACCTTGTGTCAGCATTCTTCAGTATTGCACTGTAAATAAGAATCAGAGACCATGCACCTGATGTATAACTAAACCTTCATTTACTTCACAGCCTTGAACTTTATTTATTTATTTCATAAATAGTGTTTATTTGAGTCCACTGTTCTGCTCGTGTGGTTGTGTAAGTGTCATCTTAGGTGTTATTTGTATCTGTACCTACTAGGGGTGCAGAAATGCAACATGTTCGATTACTCTTACCATTGTTAAAGCGAGTACTCGAGTAAACGTTTTGTAGTGATTCTTTTCCCCCACGGGATGCCCCGCCCCCAACTATGACGCGATGCCAACTGTATCTATTGATTAATTTGAATCTTCAGGATTTTAATAATTGTTAGTAATAGGCCTACTTTGTATTAATGTTCAAATTAGGAAATTTCTTACTTCAACAGACATGGGTTCCAAAATATAGGAAAACATCTAGTTATGCTGCTCTGTCCTGGATAGACTTTAGACTTTAGACTTTATTGTCCCAGAGGGGAAATTCTTTTTCACAGCACTGTTACTGTCCGACAGAGAAGTCCCACCAAAGAACATTTATCCACAGAAAAACAGAGAATAACACAAACAAACAGAGTTAGACAACAGTCAAGAGTTCCCATTCTGGCCTGTTCAGGACCGTTATTATAGCGGTCTTTGGTGTGGCAGGGTAAAGCGGTAATCACTAAAGTGAAAGTCCTTCTTTTTCTGTGGACTAAAAAGACAATTTCAACTGAACTTTCTTAGATCATATTGCATATTTCGTTTGTTTGGGACTTTTTGTTCATTGTGAATTCATAAAGGGGTAAATTAAAGGGATATTTTCGTTATGGTAGCAGCATACGGATCAACAATGGACGCGTTTCAGCACAGAGCCTTTATCATTGCTTTGTTTGTCATCTATTTTCTTTTTGCGCTCGTGCACCTGAAGTTTTATTTCTGTTTGAGTGTGCTCCTTTTTTCTGTTTTGAATTAGGCCTATCCTAGAACCCACAATGCAACAAGAAACATTTACAAAAATGTGGACTACAAAACGATTATCGATTAAAAAAATGTTGTAACCGATTATTATTATTTAATAATGCACCCCTAGTACCTACAGTATATAACAGCCCAGTGTGTGTGTTTGTGTGTAGTTGAAATCCCAGGGTAAGGGTGCAGGAGACGAGGACCACATCATGTTGGACATCTACGCCATTGAAGAGCTGAGAAACAAAAAGATTCCCGCCTCAGACGACTCTCCTAAATACAAGTACAGCTCGGACCAAAACGGAAACTATGGTCAGTGATTTTCCTTCCTACATGAGTTCATTTTCTGTATTTTTCTGGGACGTTTTTCACTCTAACCCTGATCCTATCTTCTTGTGTAGCCTTCGAGCAGACCACCGCCACAGTCCTCGCCCTCCGCCGTGACCGTGCCTTCTGTAACGAGGTGACGACGGGGCAGCAGTGTGGCGTTCTGCTCGACCAGACGACCTTTTACGCAGAGCAGGGCGGACAGACATTTGACGAGGGCTACATGCTGCGAGAGGACGACAGCACAGACGATGTAAGTGAAACAAAGAGAGATGTGTGTGAGAGTCTGTGGTTTGTACTGAGCTCCAATAATGTTATTAACAATGTTTTAATACATTCCCTGCAAGCTCTGTGGTATTAAAAGCCCTTAGGCCCCGCGTCCACATGGTGTTTTTTACGGTCAGAAAAGTTCTGGCTGTGTGCTCTGGTGAGCTTGCATGAAACGTTTGTGTTCTGAGAAGAAAAGCGCTGCACGTCCTGTCTCTTATAGGGCTTTCAAACTTGAAGTAAACTCCTGAAAAACTCCTAATATTTCCAGGAGGAGCTGTATGTGTGAACGCAAACAGAAACATCTTTACATTCTGATGTTATCATCTTGCCAGACCCCTAGTATTTTTTCCGCAGCAGGATATTCTCCGGAGAATTCACCTTGAGCCAATGGGAGGGGAAGTGACGTTTCTATACTGTGACTGCTGCAAGGTGCAAAGAGTGTCTGCATGCAACCGCTAAGATCTCTGTGCACGTAATTAAACGGCTGCATTATGTTTTCTGAGCAAACAGACACGTTCCGTTGGCGACAAAAAATACAGGGAATATCATACATTTGGAAAAGAGCACCAGTGATGTCAACAGCGCCTTTTGAAAAGTTTAAAGATTTTCAATTCTGTGTAGCTCCGCGCTGTGCTTTATCGCCAGGCGGCCGTCTACTGCTGTAACCGCTCTCTACTCATTGAAAACAATTGAAAAAAGACCCTCAGAAAAAAAACGCTAGGTGGACACGAGGCCTTTTAAGGGTATTTTTCTGAACTGGTGTGCTGCAGTACACAGCCGTCACTTTGCAGACACAAAAATCCAGGTTTATATCAAAGCTTTAATTAAATCCCATTGTATCTTTCAATTATGCAGGCAAGACAATCACACAATGACTCAGCTGGTGTTCAACATTAATTTAAACACGGCTGGTTGTGTTTGATGGAAGGTGGAAATAAAGCCTGCAGGCAGAAAGACCTTCTGTTAGACAACAAAGGCTGCCAAATGAAAAAGAACCATTTTGACAGGAACATAGAAAAAAAAGATCTGTTTTCAACTTTGTCTTACTGAATGAATGGCATGAAAACACTTTAACTTCACAGTTTGCAGAAGACCATCTGTCTTTAAACATAATTTTAATGTCAGAAATACAAAAGACTCAAATAACTGCTGTTTTCTGTTAAATGTCAGTTTTACTGACGATGTGAAGGAAGCCGTTCTGTCTCTTTTCTTCAAGACATTTCAAAAACTTCTACAAAATGTATATTTAATCTCCAAATGCTGAAACAAAATACATGCAAGATACAGACACGGCTCAGTCGTGACATAATGGCCACTGAATGGTGAAGTGAATAACCTTGATTATCTCTTTATAGTAACAACGTACAGAAAGTGAACATTTTGTCCTTAAAGTTAATGTGATTGAAGCAGGAAAAATGTGAACCACTTTGACGACTGGGTCAGAGCATCGTTGACTCTACAGCCTTTGTGGGGTGTTTCTGATCTGCGGTGGTCAGTACTCAGTACCTTCTGAAAGTGGTCCAAAGAGGGGTCATGGGCGCTTTGAAACATGTGTTGAGAAAATTGGCCCTTATGGTCTGACCCAACAGAAGAGCTATAAGAGCTCAAACTGCTGAAAAGTGAATGCTGGTTCTGATGGAAAGATGTTGGAGCACACAGTGCCACGTTGGGTCAGGGCTGATTGTGGGCGAAGAGAAGGGGACCTACGAGGGCTGGGAACCTTTGGGTGTCTCACGATTCAATTAGATTTTGATTCTTGGGATCACGATTTGAATCTTTTTTCGATTGAAAACGATTCTGGATTCCTGATTCAGAGTCTGTTTTTGAATTTGCATACTTCAGGATCGACTCCAGTCATCTCTGAGACCGGCTGAATTTCTTGCTGCTCCATTTGGCATTCTACTGAATTAAAGAGCTAACTTAGCAGGGAGTGACTGATTAGCCCAAAAAAAAATATATATTTAAAATCTTGCCAGATAAGAATCTCACATAAATAAAAACATTTTCCCACCTCTGGGACCTACACGACATTAGGCAGGTGGTCATAATGTTCTGGTGGATCGCTGTATAAGAAAGTCTTCTAACGAGGTCTCAAATCTTTGTTTTCTCTAAACAGTTAATGTCTGACCATGCTGTGTCTCCACCTCTCTTTGTGTCTTGGCAGCGGACAGAGTTCACAGTGAAGAACACGCAGGTCCGAGGCGGTTTTGTTCTCCACGTGGGGACAGTTTATGGCACACTGAAGGTTGGAGACCGCGTTACCTTACGTGTTGATGAGGTGAGAACATCTGCAGGATATGTCTGTTTACCATCTCATAGGATATAGTTCAGTCAGATCCTTTTTCTTTATATAAAAATAGACGTATCCTGGTTAGGAGCTCTTTTTGTTTTAATCCCTCTGATGTATAACCCTGACAAAGATCTGTCATATTCTTTTTTTTTTTTTAAAGGCTCGTCGTAGGCCCATCATGAGCAACCACACCGCCACGCACATCTTAAACTTCGCCCTTCGGGGGGTTTTAGGGGAGGCAGACCAGAGAGGCTCCCTGGTCGCTGCAGACCGTCTTCGCTTTGACTTCACAGCTAAAGGTGCGCTGAGCACCGGGGAGGTCCGACGGACTGAGGAGATTGCCTGTGCTCTCATAAGAGATAATAAGGTTGAAACACTCTCAATAATCCTGGTTAAAAGTTTAAACAGTTAAAGTTGAATATATTCATCAGCTGACTCTCCCCCCACACTGTGCTCCCTGCAGGAGGTGTATGCCATGGACGCCCCACTCGCAGAAGCCAAAGCCATCCAGGGTCTGCGTGCCGTGTTTGACGAGACCTACCCCGACCCCGTCCGAGTTGTGTCTATTGGTATCCCCGTGGAGGAGCTGCTGAAGGACCCAGAGAGTGCTGCTGGTTCTCTCACCTCCATCGAGTTTTGCGGTGGAACGTGAGTGTGATGCTTTCTTCTATTTTACATGAGACACAGCATGCACACAGTTCATATAGTCGAAAGCTCAGTCACCTTCACCCTGCTGTGTTTGTACTAAAATATAAAGCTGACTGCAGAACTGTCACAAAGAGAAACATACTCCTGGTTAAAGAATGAAGCATTGTAATCCACAATGTTATGGGCGAGACTCACAAACTTTCTGTAAGAACGTTTAAAAAGCTGTAAATCATTTTCTCCTGCTCTCTGCCTTTGTGTTCGACGTTATTATGTTGATGTTTACTCCTGTTGTGCTTTGCTGCGGCCATGCTCGCACTGAGTCAGCCTCACAGCTTCAAGACTTGCATGCCCTGTGACTGTGTGTCATCATAACACTCAGATCATGTTTGTTTAATGTGTGTGTTTGTGTGTAAACTTTTACAAATGAGTAAAGCGACAGAATAAAAAACACGGCTGGATGGGAAATGGAAACCTCTTAGGGCTTATATGTTTACCATGAAATGGAAAGTGTTGCTGGTGATTACTGTCGATGTTCAGGCGTGTGTCTCGTGTGCAAAAGTGCTTAAATTAAACTAGAGAACAAGTGTTGGAAAAGAAAATCTGCAACTGCATGAATTCATCAGTTTTGGAAGGTGTCAGACCTGCCCCCCAGACCTGGTGTTGTGTAAAGCACAACTCATGAATTGGATTTGTGGATTTAACAGTGCGACACTTGTGTTACTGTGCAGAGCTTAATCCAGCGATTAGATTTGCTCCATCGACTTCTACATTGTCTGCTCCTGGCTTTAATATTCACCCTGAATGCAGAGACTTTCTCTCTTATGTAGATTTTAGCAACACTCCTCATCTCTTTTCAGTAGTTTTTGGGGTTGAAATTAATTATTTTATAACATGCACAGGTGCTCAAGTACATTAGTTGGAGCTGGTTCTGAATTAATCTCTGGAGGAGACATTGTTTGATATGGTTGGTTGGCACAATGGTCATTACACTGATCCTTTTCAAGACCACTTGTTTAAAAACGCTACAACCTGTCATTTCCGTCATCTAAAGCCTCGTAAAAGTGCTGAAGCTTTAAAAAAAACTACAGATCTTCAGTCTTTTTTTAAACTTAAAGCTGCTAGAGAAAAGGAGAGATTGCTGTCTAAATTGCTCAAAACATTGGCGACCTTTAGGTGCAAAAACATTGCCTATGTATTTGTGTAATTTAAACAGTGCACTGGAGTTTATTTACATTATTATTTTGTAATTAAAACCAACAACTTTCCCATCATTTGCCGAATACTGGCATGGCAACAACCCTATTTTCCTCCCATATTCCATTTTAGTGAACGGTTGTCTGGCTTCCTGAAGTCATCTTTGATGTTCTTGAACTCTGCAGCCACTTCCAACATCCCCTGTTTCTGCTGCCGATGTCCTGTAATGTTTTTCTCTCCCTGCTCGTGTTCCTCCTGCTCCTCGCCGCTCTCCCTCTCCTCCCACAGTTGTGTAAGCCCGTTGGTAACGTGCTGTTGTTTCTCTTATCTGCAGCCATCTGCGGAACTCGGGTCACGCAGCACCATTTGTCATCGTCTCGGAGGAGGCCATCGCTAAGGGCATCCGCCGTATTGTTGCTGTGACAGGAGCAGAGGCCCAGAAGGTCAGGACACACACACACACACACACACACACACACACACACACACACACACACACACACACACACACACACACACACACACACACACAGCCTGAAGCATGCTTGTATTCACAAATCCACTTTCACTTCTAACACAAATAAAGCATTTAAATAAAGCACATGGATTTATTATTCCTACAGTTTCTGCTAAAACTGAATTTAGAGATTGCATGTTGATGGTGGTCAAAGAGTCACAGACTTTTTCTTGCAACTCGTGATGAAAAAAATACGATTCTCAAATTAAAATGTGCTCAGACTGAGAGAGGCTTTGTCCTTTTTGGGTCGGCAGTGAGAAATAGCAGCCCGACTCTTTAATGAAGCTTGTGTTTGACTTGTTGAACTTGGAGAAAGAAAGAATCATTTTGCATTCTCCCTCTCTCTGCAGGCCCGAGGACACATTAATCTGCACTATTTTTAGAAAACAATTGTCGTTTGAGCCTCCTCTTTCTCTCGCTCTCTTTTTTTTTGTCCTTATTGCTCCCCATGCTGTGCTCTTTTGTTTCAACATTTCTCTGTTTGCCCTTGTCTCACGCCTCTCGTGTCTCGCATCCCTCAGGCTCAGAGAAAAGCTGATTCCCTACAACAGTCTCTGTCCTCCCTGGGAGTCAAGGTGAAGCAGCAGAAGGCCCCAAACAAGGACATCCAGAAGGAGATCGCAGACATGACAGAGGTAAGACCAACAAAGACACAACGTCCCAACATGTCCCAAAAGAAACCTCAGCCCTGGCATCACCGCGTCCGTCCTCTCTGCAGATGATAGGCACAGCAGTGATCTCTCAGTGGAGGAAGGACGAGATGAGGGAAACTCTGAAGGGCCTGAAGAAGATCATGGATGACCTGGACCGCAGCTACAAGGCTGACATCCAGAAGAGGGTCCTGGAGAAGACCAAGGAGGTGATCGCGAGCAGCCCCAACCAACCGCTGCTCGTCATGGTGCTGGAGAGCGGGGCGTCGGCCAAGGTGAGAGGCCGAAATTCTGCAATCGGAAAGCCTTTTAAGCTATTTCAATTTTCTTTGTTTTATTTTATTTAACCGGTATTTAACCAGGAAAAAGTCTCATTGAGATTAAAAATCTCTTTTACAAGAGTGTCCTGGCCAAGACAGGCAGCAGCACAATTACAGGGTTTCAGACATAAAACACTTAAATACAGGAATCACAAAAAGAACCATTCATCAGAATCTGTCATAAGTCATCAGCAACAAAGCGATCAAAAAGGGCAATACGAGTTAGCTAAACACATCTATAGTCAGATATTTCTGCCTCCAGATCATTAAGACGATCTTTAAAAACATTCAAGGAAACCAGCTCCCGAAGATTTAAAGTATCTTGCAACCAATTCAAGGAAGAGGGAGCAGCATACATGAACACCCTTTTTCCTAATTCAGTACGGGCTTATTTGATATTTTTAGATACCATGTGTTTGCAATAAAACATGCGCAATCTTTCAGTCATTTTTTGATCTTTGAAAACAAAGAAATGACCCAACATTGGGTGCCTATGACTTCTATTTTTGTTGCTGTTGTATCAAATCATGTATCGATACCATGAGACTTTAAGTAGCATCATATTGAAATTTAAAATTCCGGCATCGGGACAAACCTGGACCCTGCAAACACAGACAAGAGGACATCTTTAAATCACCCCCACCACTTCATCAGCATGCTGTACCAAAATAAAACAAACAGAATTAAAATTCAGTTGCTCTGCATTAGTGCACAGTTCTCCGACAGACTCATAGCTTATCTCATTGTGTAATCGCCACGGGACCAAATCAGCTCTGTGGCCCATTATTTCTGACCTTGAGACATCAATAGTGCTGATAAGGAGACTTTTTTTTTCTCACATCCTTTTTTTTCACACTTTGCAATAATGATTTAACTTTTTCTCTCCTTCCACCTCTCAGGCTTTGAATGATTCGCTGAAGCTGCTGAAAACTCAGTCCCCTCAGACCGCCGCGATGCTCTTCACCATTGACCCCGAGGCCAGCAAGATCATCTGCCTGTGTCAAGTCCCAGAGGTAACACACCCGCCCGTCCAGTCACATTGTTCCTAATCTATACAAAGATGGATTTGCACACTTAAAGGAGCTTTTTCTCCTTTAAACCCATGGCTAATACACCAGTATCAAATGCTGAGACATGCACTTTTGTGACCGCAAATACAGCCAGGTTATTTACAGTTCATCAATCTGTTTGTACAGTTATAGAGAAACGTGTTACTTCACTTTAGCTACTCGATATCTCTACTTTTTTTTCATGTTGTTGTCACAGTTTCTGTCAGAGGGCTAACCAAAGGTAGTAAAAGTAGTAGAGATGCAGCAATCCACTTTTTTTCAGTTCCCATCCGATTCTGATACATATGTACAGATACCGATACTGAGTCCGATATCTTTATAATTATGACTAATAGTGTTTTTGTCGTTGGTATTATGTGTAAGACTCCACAAAGCTGTAGTAAACCTGGTATTGCATTGTACTGGCTTCACATACAAACAGGAAGCAGCAACAGCTGTCAGGTTTTTCAAATTAAATCTTTCAAACTGAATTGTAAGAGTTGTACTTTCTAACATCTAGAAGGAGCTGCTCCATCTTGTCTGAATGTCGTCATGGAGACGATTTGTGGACACTTCTTACAGTTCAGTCTGAACGTCTTCAAAGAGAGACTGTGCAAGCTCAGAATGTTTAAAGTGTCCAATGATCTTTCTTGATCGGTGACGAGGATCATCGCTGTCAGTCCGATATGTAAATTACATCAATATCGGACCCGATACCGATAAAAGATTGAATCGGTCCCATTTCTAAAAAGTAGTATGGGGGTTGTCTTGTGAGTAGAAATGGTCTTAAAGTTCCCAAAAAATGGATTGTTACTTTTTAATTGCATAAATGTGCATAAAAAAACCACACTAAATTTATCAGGTATAATTTCTTACTTTATTAGATTGCATTAAGTATCACAGCAGACTTGCACGCCAGAAACGGTGACGTTTAAGTTGCTCAGTGCTCAGGCTTTATGGTATTGGATTTGTCTTTAACCTCCCCTCCTCTCTTCAGGAAGTGTCCAAACGCGGTCTGAAGGCCAACGAGTGGGTTCAGGAGATTTGCCCCCTGATGGACGGCAAAGGAGGCGGCAAAAACATGTCGGCCCAGGCCACGGGCAGGAACACACAGTCCCTGCAGGATGCACTAGATGTGGCCAACGAGTTTGCACGGCTCAAACTGGGAGAGAACTGAGGCGGAGAGAGGATTTGTTGTGATGGCGGAGGAGTCGTGAGTCAGAATCCAGCCAACAAGTCTCCTCCAAGCCTCCCCACTCTTTCCTCTTTTCTTCTCTCTTAGGGTGAAAAGATAAAAACTTCCAGGTTGGTTTCCCACTCCTGCAATAACAAGAGATGACCGCTGACACTCAGCCAGCACTAAATGAGCCACTTGTTTTTTACACAATAATTGCATCCTGTAAGATCATTCACTTTGGAAATTGCTTGAATATAGAAGAAGATCCTCTCGTGCAGTAAAGCTTAACAGAAAGAAGATGAGAAAGTAATCGTAGTGTCTCCGTCATTATCTCATTCCCACCACAAATGAAAATAAAAGGGAAGAACTTTTGATGGTTTTAGCTTTCTGCCAGTACCATACAGCTCAGGTGAAGTGACTAAACCTGTTTACTTTCTGTATCAAACCGGTGTCCTGATCATGAAATACTTCCACCATGTCTCTGTTTGTCTCATTTCACTGGTTTTGTCTTTAAAACCCCTGCAGGTTCATTTTCTGCTTCCACGTTAGCTGGGAAAGAAAAATGAAGCACAAATCCCGCTCTTAAATGATTTAGGCACAGTGTGCGCAGTGTGTCCTGTGTTGGCTGATCTTCTGATCTAATCTGAACAGTGTCTTCGTCCGTCTGTGTGAGTGAAAGCCTCAGTTCTCTCCTTGATTTGTCGGCCATGAGTTGTAGCTGTGTCATTAATCTTTTTTCAAATAACAAGCCGTTATCTGTCATGTGTGTCCCCAGGTTTAATTTAGTAAATTAATACTTCATTCATAGAATAAATGATCATTAATTTGTGTCATAATAAATCAGTGTCGCTTCATTCCGCTGACATTTGAAATCGATTGAATGCAGAATGTGGAAAATGTCCTTCATTGTTGCTGTCGGAGAAATGTCACGTTATGAGATTGGAATAAATACGACTGGTAAATGCTGCATGTCCTCTTTGTTCTTCTCAGGCATTGATTGATTTGTGTTGGTGATGGATTTCCTGCAGGTCCAGACACAGACAGGGACAGGTTACCTTTAACTTCAGTAAAGTTCAGATTTAATCAACAACACCACAAAGTCACTCTGAGATCATTAGATGTGGATCACTGAGCAAAAGATGATTGAGGTGTAAAACTCATTAGCTGTGTTAACAAGTGTTGATTTAAAGATGAAGTGATGTGCAGTTTCTTCATGCTGGATGTCTGTGAAGTATCAGTGTCGGAGAATAAGTCAGTCAGGATGATTAACAGGTACACACTACCTTTTTTTTTTTTTTTAATGACATGCCTGCAATGGTTTTCAGTACTTTATGGCTAATGGTATCTTTCTTAAATCTATAAAATATTCACCAATTTAAGATAGAATTTTGTCATCACTAAATATATATATTTTTTAAAAACAAGAGCTCAATAGATCAAGCAATTAGCATAATAAATGTAGTAACTACTTTTTATGGATAGGTCTTGACGCTTATCCAAAACAAATGTCCAAAATGAAATAACTTTGGTAAATAGACTTCAGCTTGTATAGTTCTTTTCCAGTCTTCTGACTACTCAAAGCTCTTTTACAACACAGGTCACACAGTGTCCATCAGTATTACAGTAACTAATCGATTCGTCTTATCCCATCTCTCCCCCTATCCCTTTCCAACCCTGGTGCAGTCTAGGCCTGTGAAAGCTGCTTCGTCATGAGCTGGGGATCCGGCCGAAGATTTCTGCCTTTTAATAAGGCAGTTTTTCCTTACCACTGTAACTTTTGCTGCTTTGCTAAAGTGCTCATGATGGATAGGCCGGGTCTTTGTAATATAGCAATAAGTAAGGTCTTTTACCTGCTTTTTGTAACATAACAATAAGTAAGGTCTTTTACCTGCTTTTTGTAACATAACAATGAGTAAGGTCTTTTTACCTGCTCTTTTGTAATGTTAACAGACAAAAGAGTAAGGTATTTTACCTGCTTTTTGTAAAGTGTCTTGAGATAACACTTGTTATGATTTGACGCTATACAAAATAAATTGAATTGAAAATTGAAATTGAATTTGTATAAATTCACACGCTGCAGATGAAGCAGCGGGGTTAAGTCTCTTGCCTATGGACACATCGGACATGTGGCTGCAGGAGCTGGGGATCTAACCTTGGATCTTGGATCTTCCGGCTGAGGCGACCGTCTCTACCAACTGAACCACAGCCGCCCCAATGATGTTTCAAAGTAAAGACGCAATTCACTGTAACATTAAATTATAAAAAAATCTGATTTTTTAGAAATGCTTTTACTTATAATAGATATCGTACAAACCATGTTCCCACCCACCACCTATGCCAACAGACTTCCTGTTCATTTGTCAATTATAAACACCTGATCTTACCACCTCACCAATTAACCCCCACCATCTGTGATCACCATCTAGTGTCTAAATTAAGTAAAGAAACATATACACACAATACACACTTAATTGGCTCCTACAATAAAGATTAAACCTCCTTTAAGTGTTTACTAATATTAAGAGCTAAATGCATTGACATGGTGCTACAGCATTAAAATAGTCATTTTGGGCCTTATTCTACTTCTGAGGGGTTATAATTGTGAAATGCTTTATTAATCCCTGAGGGAAATAATAATCAGTGATGACCAAGTTTGGAGACAAGACAACAATCACTGAGCTGGCATGAAAATCATCTGTGGGTTGCACCCATTTGAATTGATAAATGTACTCAGAAGGCTAGTATATAAAATAATTAGTTTAACACTTATTGTGAGTCAATTTTAGTGTGGACCATTGGTTTCTAAAAATATATTTTGGGCCATTTTTGCCTTTATTAGACAGAACAGCTGAAGAGAGAGAAAATGCTGGGAGGAGAGAGTGGGGGACGACATGCAGGAAAGGGCAGAACCTATGGTCGCTGTGACGACGGCTATAGACTCCTGCGTACATGGGGTGCACGTAGTAACCACTTGGCTTTCCAGCACCTGAGAAGTAGTGATGTCGTGTCCTGCAGACACAACTGAGAGTGCATTATGGAGTTGAATTATTCTTCTGGACACACATTTTGATGGCACATTTCTAAATCACCAGGCCTTGTTCTCTGCAGGTATATTTTCACTTTTTATAATGACACATAGTACAGTCAATCATAGTGACAGGCCGGTCTGTTAGCCCGTATTGATAATAGCCACAATAAAAGAACAAACCATCACATTAGACTCCTGTTTAATGACGCTTTTATTCATACAGGATCATAAGATACAAAGAGCTGATCACATATCGTACAGATGTTTCAATGGAGTAAATACAGGTGTACCACCTTGTGCAAAAGGCGGCGCTACTTGTGACTAGATGACAACAGATCCAGACAGCAGGAAACCATCCACACACAGACACACGAAACCCTCAAACTACTCCTTTATTTCCTACATCATGTTTCATAGTAGCCACCTGGATGTTTGTTGTTAGATCACTAAAGTGGTCTTTAATCCTATGTGTTGGTTCATATTTTGTTTGCAGAGTTCTGGCACAATAGCAGACAGTGGTACGAGTTTAAGCTTCACAATCCACTGAGACAGTCTGATATGTGCTTTTTCAGCTCACTAACTGCAGCTTCAGAGTTGTTTCTGTTCAGCAGCAGACCAGTGAACTGTTCTCATCTCAGCCTCAAACACCACAGCGAAACCCATCACCAGGCGCCAGGCGGTGTCACTACTGAAACGTCCTGTCTGAACCCGTGGCGTTTTGATCAGGACGCGTTTGCTCCTCAAAGCTGTTTTCTTAACAGTCTCTACATTTCCATCCCTGCAACAGAAACCTCTTTTTTTTTTTCTCTCAAAGACAGAGCTGCAGACACCTTAACCATAGCAACAAGAAGGAAACCGTTTGAGGAGAAGGGAGCTGTGTTGAAGTAAATGTAAACCAACAAGAGCTGTGATTTTCCTTCTCTCTTTCACAGTGTCTTCTTTTACAGCTGGAGATGCTGCATGGGTTTTCCTTTTTTTTTTTTTTTTTTTTTTTTTAACTCTACCAGGCCACGAATAGATCAAAATTTCGAATGTTTTGTTAATTTCAGTTCATTAAAATGGTGCTGACCGATATTTAATAAATAGGTACTAAAATGTAAAGTACAAAAGAAAGGAAAGAAAACCACTTAATTTCCCCTGATAATTATTTAAAATATTAGTTTTTCTCTGAATTTGAAGAACTATACTTTTCTCATATCTGTACGCTAAAATTTAAGCTACAGCCGTGAGACTGTTAGCTTAGAATACGAACAGCTAGCTTTTGAGAGTTTAATAGCATTTTATGGACTCCTTAACTCACTGGTTAATATGGTTTATCTTATTTGTGTAATTTACACACACACAGAAGTATTAAAAAAATTACTTTCACTTTTGGGATATGTGCCACACCGTGTATTTACCAGTAGCTGCTTCTAACTGGCTAGCTGATTTTCTGTCCCTGTTAAGCTAAGCTATCACCTAACTGTCTGATAATGACCACACGTTTACTCCGGTTGTATAAACCTTCCTCCCTAACTCAGCTAAATAACACATTTCCAAGATGTCAAACTATCTCTTCACATATACAAGGGAATGTAAAAACCAAAATGTGCCTTCAGAGTGAAACATCAGCGTTTTCTAGCCTGGACAGGTGTGTTTCCATATGGACGCCCAGTAGAGACGTGCATTCATACATTTTATTTATCTCCTTTTTCCTCTTACAACAACTTTAAACCAGCTGTTTTTCTCAATATCAAGAGAAATTAACTTGTTATCAGAAGGAAGCCAGCATTGTAATCTCCAGATAACAAGATAATAAATTTGAAATCTCAAGGAAACACATTTGCTCATCACTGGAGTTAAATTAAATGTATGGCTGTATGTCCACTTAGGGCTTCCGTACTTTTAGACTGTTTTGGTTTCGAAACTCATTCTGCATAATATCCAATGAAAAGTGAAATATTTCAAGTTTAAGTTTTCACATTTAACTACTGTTATTTCCAGCACAGATCTTTGTTCACTATCAAAGTTCCCTACACAGCAGAAAAACAGAGACAGTGTGACCTATAAACGTGTGCTCCCAATTATTTAAAGACTCGTCTCCAGATGAGAAAGAAGACGTGTACTGGGTCAGCAACAGGAGGAAAGACCTACTTTATGTCTGAAAAGCTCCAGAGAACACGCTCAAATCTGTGACGAGCACCATAGGAGGAAAAAAAACCCTCTAATTTAGGGGAACTCACAGCAGAGGGGGGGAGGGGTCACCCTGCTCCTGTCTGCTCCTGTCTCCAGCTGTGAGATATAACAGAGTAAATGCTGGAACAGAATAAGGGTCTGGATTCTTTGTCAAATCTTTCAACCCACAGCTTGGCTGCATGAACAGGATGTGACTGTGTTATATTCCTACCAGTTGATTCCAAAAATGAAACACATTAATTTTGAAGCAGGAAGAAGAAACAAACATTAAAAACACAGGAACCACGTTAGCTGACCACTCCATAAAAACAGTGAACCATGTTAACAGCAGTTCACTGATATGTCTACACACTTTGTCATCATCAATCGCTGTTAAACTACAGTCACGCTGTTTTTATTTTAAAACTAAAGCATAAAGATACGACAGGTACCTGTAACTTTCAGCATCAGTCCGGCAGCTGACCCTCTTTCCTGCCATGTCACTATACATGATCTAGAAAAAAAGCATAAATGTCTTCAAACTACACACGATATGCTCAGAAAAGTAGCAAATGTCCTAATGAGTCCACAGCAAGTCACTCTGCATCACGAGTTAACAGCCTCTCTGTAGCCTGCAGCCATCTTTAAAAAAACAACATCAGTGTACAAAGCAGTAAGAAGTGAAGAGCGGGAGGCGTCTGCACCCCGAGCAGAAGGCAGACAGTGTGTGTAGGTGTGTATCTGTGTGTGTGTGTGTGTGTGTACAGCTCAGAAGGCACAGCTCTCAGCCAGAAGACGTGTGTGTGTGAGTGTGTGTGTTAGTGGCTAAAAATATGCCAAGGTGGCAGGTGTGTGTGTTGCCGATGGAGCAGCTGTAGGTGGGAGGCGTTCAGCAGCAGCAGGACAAGGCACAGAAGCATGAATGTGTGTGTGTTTGTGTGTGTGTGTGTGTTTGAGTGTTTGACAAAAGAGAGAGAGAGAAACACAAACAGTATGTCCAGATTCGGGCACTACATCATCATATCATGTCAGTTATGTGCAAAGATGGACAAACACAGTGAAAGCAACAAAAAAAAGAAAAAGAAAGAACAGTGGCAACACATGAGAGCCCAGAGTGGTTAAATGAAATCCTCAAAAGTTTGTTCAAATTAAATACAATAACTCAATCAATACAGGAGGAACAGTTCTTCACATCGCCTGCGGGGGGCAGAATGACGCCCCGACTCCTCCACATGTGTGTCATCTCAACAAGAATGGGTTTTTACATGCTGTGTGGTGACATCCTTCACTTTGAACGACACACAGAGTTTCTCTTCTCACACATAAACATATGTTATTTTCACATTAAACTTCCAGCAGCTGGCACTCATGGTTCCTATGCAGCTTCTCTTCACCACGTTTTAGTCGGCAGATTGGTTTTTCATAATGAGTCACTGGAACGATACACAGACTCCTGAGAGGAAAACAACCTTGGAGAAGTTCTGAGTCAACTCTAAGTTTGAACTAGTTTCTGAGTTTTAAAGGAGCATCAAAGACCCTGAAAACATAGTTTTCTGTGCCTGCTTGTTACTGTTGGGATATTACGTAAAAAATACAAAAGTTTTGTTAACTTCTGTGAAAATGTTCTTCATGGATTTTGTCTCATACGTCTGTGCTCGTATTAGTGATTCAAAGTGGGCGGGACTAAGCTGTCTAAGCGGGGCTTAGACAGAAAAAACTTGGTTAGACCAATTCTAATACACTTGAAGTTGTGAATGTTTTTTAAGCCATACCTGGAAACAATTAGTGGCATGGAAGGACAAGCATTCAATCGTTCATTATCATCCACTGTTATTAAACTACACCACAGACTGTAAATATTAATGCACCAGGCCTGAGTGATGTCACCCATCTGTTACTGCGGGGGGGCTTTGGAGTCCCATTGATGGTGGTCGTCATGCTGGAAATGCTGACTCACCCTAGCAGTGGTACATGCATTAAAAAATAAAAAAGTGCTCCATAGCACTAATAGTGGTCAAACAGTCTTCAGGGCACCTTTAAATCTGTACTGTTGCTTATTTGGGAATATTTTTGTGTCATTTTTGCTGTAATAGATAGAACAGAAACTGGAGGATGACATGCTGCAAAGGTGTGGAGGGTCAAAGTTGGACCCTTCTATAAATCAGGCACATGCTGAGCTAAACCGGCACCCTGTTGAGAAATATGTAATATAATTTAGACATGTTTAAAATTCATAATTACGTTTTAAGAAGTAATTGTATTTTGACTTTCATTATTGTAACTGACATAACTACTACGGTAATTTGAAGTTAGTTTGGAAGGTGAGTTTTTGATCATGAGGTATCTACTGAGACATTATTACTCGTCAATTACCTTTCAAATCAATACATAACTACATACGTCTCGTATACATTTTTTACAATATTTTGAAAGACCTGCGTAAGAACCATGAGCAGTCTTTGTAAGACAACAGCTGCATCTTGAGAAACACTTTCCTTCCTCTCTGTGGCACACATTTCTTCTCTTACAGCCTAGCACCTCTTCCCTCACTGATATGGAGGCTGTAAATGTGTATATGGGTCAAATGTGATGATAGAAAATCATGTTAAGAACAAAGACTGTGGCACCTGGGTGGAAAAGATGATCCAATATGAGTAAGTGTAAACTCAAACAGTACCTGAAACTAACACTGCAGTCTGAAGGGAGATATGCAAACAGTGAGAAAATCAGAACAAACAGTGCAGATGATGCGGTCCAGAGGTGGAGTCTAAGGCGTCTGGTGGCTCCGTCCCCTTAAGACTGAGCTGAATTTTTAATTGGCTGAGCAGGGACTAGGGCAAGTGGTTAATGAAGCCGATCTACTGACAGGTAGAGGAATTCCCAGATCCAATGGGATTTACTCTCACCCAATCATCTGAGCTTTAATCAGGAGCCAAACGCTCCGGACAGTCTCTGACTCCTCTGGGATCCGGGGAGTCAGGCTGGAGTTTCAGTCGGGGCAAAAAAAAAAAAAAGCAAGAGCGAGATCTTTTTAAACTTCAGTCCCAAACCAAAGTGGTTAACCCAGTTCAGTTTGTATTTCACTCTAGCAAGCTGAGGAACCAACGTCTTTCTGTTTCATCATTAAAAACACAGGAGAAACTTAATGCATTTCTCATGCTGCCTTTAGTCAGACTGGTTCTTCACGCTCGAGCTCTACAGTCCTCCTCTCCCAAAATAGACTCTGACAGACCACATGGGGATTAAACTCTAGTCCAGAAACCAGCATGCCTCCTTCCAAACATGAAATCCCAGGAGATGGACTTTTTGGCCTCATTAGAATCTGATGCAGCCAAACCTGCGCTCCCCATGAACACTTCTTCTCCTCGTGCCGGGATGAGTGAATAAAGACTGAAGCAAAGCTCTACACAAGCTGAGGCTCAGGCCAGTGCTGCAGTGGGCCTTCTGAGTCAGAATGGCAGAAACAGTCGAGGCCCTGCATAGCTGTGGTACTGACCTGGAGGGGGGAATTTAGAGGAAAGTCATACGATATAAACTCACAGCATCACCTTCCGTCTTATAAGCAACCATTTCACATCCCGTCATAGTCCGACAAGGCCCCTGTCACACTGTCATCTGAGGCAGAGCTCACATGAAGTGGAGTTATGACGGAGAAAAGGGGCAACGTGTCAACGTGAGGGTTTTTGCCTCATGCAATGTTTGATAGGAAGAAATCTTTCTAAAAGGAGTCATGGCCCCGCGTCCTGTAGGAGACGGGAACTCAGCCCTTCAGTCTTCAAATGCCAACAGTACGCATCTGATAGCACTGCAATTAGTGTCCATAGTGTCCATGCTGTTTGCTGTACAGTGCTGACATCCATCCACAGCTTAGAGGAGAAATAGATACATTTATGGTGTTCCTTTTCTGTGGCCGTTTTATAACTTTGGGATCTTCTGACAAGGGGAATTTGCATGTGAGATTTTCCCCTCTCTGGCTTCCTCTGTGCAGTATTTCTGTGAATTGGTTTAGTTTTCTATTTCTCCAGCTGTCCCATCTCTTCTCTCATCCTTAAACATACTCTCACAGAGGAAAACCTTGAGAAAAGAGTCTGTTTGTTCCCCTTGTAAATGTAAGGCTCAACACCTACTCTAACATGAGTTTGTTTCATCTACATGCTCCTTGGTCCTGGTTTTTTGTTGAGTGAGTGTACACCATGTTCTCCAATCAGCGCCTCTGGCTACCTCCCGAAGATGAGGGGAAATGAATGGGATTATATTTTTTGGTACCATTTTGTGCACAGTTTGTCCTGCCTTCTGAGAGCATTTGGTTAACTTCAGCTGGGAAACCCAAAACTGGTGCAGGTACAGTTAAGAAAGCCAGAATACAAACACATCGCAAGCAGCTTCTACAGTATCTGCTGCTGTACCAGGTGTTGAAAACATTAGATATTATATTAATGTGCTGGTTATTTCCCGGGGAACACAGTGATTTTGCCGGCCTTGGCCAGCCGCTGGATGATCTGAGCTTCATAGTCTGCATCGTGAACGCCGGTCTTTCTGAACTCTCCGGAGTAGCGGTTCTGCTCCCAGTAGTGGTGCCAGTTTCCTCGACTGTCCGCCCCGAATCCAAACACGTTCACCTAGAGGAGAGTGCAGAAAGAAGTGTGTGTGTGTGTGTGTGTGTGTGTGTGTGTGTGTGTGTGTGTGTGATGATATGATGTAAGGATAGTCTCAGCATGATGCAAATGTTTCACAGTGTTTTGTAAGAAGCTGACCTCATCACAAACGTGCAGGGCGAAGAAGAGCACCAGCATGCCAGTGGAGGGGTAGCGCCCATGATGTCTGGTCCAGCGGTCGTGTATGTATTTAAAGAACGCTGGGTTGAAGATCTGAACCTGGTGGTGTAAAGAGAAGCACAGAAAAGATCAGAAAAATTAACTTACAGCTACAAAAGTAGAAAAGAAGTATTTTCCTCCTTTTTTTCAATCCCTTGTTCTCTGTTATCCCACAGCGTTCTGCCTGCTGCGCACCTGAGCGCAATTTGTGCCCAGAGAGGAGGAGGGGTAGAGAGAGAGGGTGGGAACACACACACACGCATTATGTGGTGAGGTAGACGGAGGTCAGTGCTCTCAGAGAGGAGATATATTAAAATATCATTCAGAGGGCTCCTTCACTCAGGCAGAATCCAAAGAAAGTACTGGAGCGCACAAATCACTGAAGGCAAATTTATTAAGATGCATAGGACTACGATTTGGAAACACTGGTTCTTCCTCAGAGTCAACGTTTTGAATCGTAAGTGATTCGTGTGCTCCAGTGCTATCTTTGGATTCTGCCTCTGTGAAGGAGTCCTGTGAATTATGATGTGGTGAGGATCGGGCTTCATTTGTCCTCTTACACTCCTCTATTTTCTCCTCCAAGCATCGCAGCTGCGATGTAAAGTTTCCATCAAAAGTCACTTACCCCATTCATACACATTCATACACCACTGATGAAGCAGCGGGAGCAACTTACGTGTCTTGCCCAAGGACACATCGGACATGTGACTGCAGGAGCTGGGGATCAAACCCTGGACCTTCAGGTTGAGAGGCGATGGACTCTACCAACACCCAGTTTAGTAGGAAGTGCTGTGTACGACTGTCAAATGCAGCACTTTTCAGTTTTTTGTTTCTCCTCAGCTAAAGCCTCAATTTGTTCAGGAAGCTGTAACATATTTGGGGGCTCGTTTTAAACATATTTCACATCGGCTTTTCTCATGGAGGATTTCTCTAAAACACTTTGTGCTATTGAGATGGCTTTTTGTTTTGTTTTTCTGCTTCAGCATTGTAGATGTGCATCTTTTTGTCTTTAGTGCAATACAAACACTTTGTTTTGCTGCGGTGCCTCACACTTTATGTTTGGAACAAAATCTAAGTTGTCCTGAATTCAGTTTAACAGCGCTCACTCAAATGATTTACACGGTAATACAGGCAAAATAACCTCATGCAATCACGGCTGCTGCATATTCAAAAGGTCCAACAAAAGAAGAAAAGATTTTGCTGAGTTAAATTCAAAACCCCTCGGGAGGTTGTGATGGCTGTGAAAGATTAAAGGCACTAAGAGCACCGTTAACCAAATGAATAGTAATTACATATGAATCATCTCCCCCTCCAGGTGATAGTCAGGCCCAATAAACCCAATAAAGCGCTGTAGGCTGCTTGGAGAGCCACAGTGGAGAAGAGAATCTTACAAATCTATATTTCTGGGTCGACTCCAAAGATGCCGTGTTTCTGACCAGGTGAAGGGAGGGATTAGTGTGACTTTTTGATTTTCAAGGATTAAAGATCGAACAGAAAATTATGAAAACAAAGCAAGAGTTTTTCTCACTGTAATCCATCAATAATGGTGATGGGGGGGTCACTGCATGTGTGTGTATGTGTGTGTGTGTGTGGGAGTGTGTGTGTGTGTGTTTGTGGCTCTGTATGTGAGTGTGTGAGACTGGCAGAGAGTAATTGCAGTGAAAGCAAAAAATAATACACACCTTGTCTTTATCTACACGGAGGAACTGCTTTACTGGAGCGTACGTACTGATGGAGAGAGAGAGAGAGAGAGAGAGAGAGAGAGAGAGAGCGAGAGAGAGAGACAGAGAGACAGAGAGAGAGAGAGAGAGAGAGAGAGAGAGAGCGAGAGAGAGAGACAGAGAGAGAGAGAGACAGAGAGACAGAGAGAGAGACAGAGAGAGAGCGAGAGAGAGAGACAGAGAGAGAGAGCGAGAGAGAGAGAGAGAGACACAGAGAGAGAGCGAGAGAGAGAGAGAGAGAGAGAGAGAGAGACAGAGAGAGAAAATTTGATTTAATACATTTAATCAACTCTTCATGTGATGCTGCAGCTGTGAATTCTGGATGATTGACAGCTGACAGATTGTTACGGCCCCATGACTCTCTGACTCCTTGTCACTCTACTGAGTGTGTGAGTGTGTGTGAGTGTGTGTTTGTGTGTGTGTGCCCACAAACTATACTTGTGTGTTGTGGTCTTTTAAAAAAGTTATTCTGGATCCAAACAGTCATGCCCCTGCACCGTGGGCACTCTATGTTCAGTGTATGTTTTTTGTGCCCCCACATATGTGTTAATCCGTGTTTATGCATATCTGTGTGTGTGTGTGTGTGTGTGTGAGTGTGTGTCCCCCTTCTTACAATCGAATCTGTCCGGTGGACAGGGCGCTGGTGATCCAGACTAGATCCAGTGTTTTGAAGGGAACCAGGACGAAGCTGACGTTTGCCGCCAGGTTCTTGGCGCTCTCTGGATACATGAAGTGGTGAGTCGTCTGGCTGCCGGCATCTTCTTCGTAGCCCACCGTGGGGGCCAGGTTTATCCTTGAAACAAGAGAGGAATGCATTACTCAGGGGGGCTGTGCTTTGTTAGCAAACAACATGTGTGGCATCCACTTTCAAACTGTGGTCACAAACCTATAAAAAGAAATGTTTTCAAATCTCGTGCTGAGTTGTCAGACTGATTCATTTTGTCTTTTTAGAAAATTGTTACATTTTGCAGGAAGCTGTGAACATATCAGTGACTCAAACAACTGACTGTTTCATTTTGGAGAGGACCTCACAGTTTTTCTCCTCCCAGGTAAACTACCTCCTTACCTGACTTAATATCCTCTCTATAAACATTTCAAGTCATTCAACATATCTCAAAACTACTGTGAAAATACAGAGTGAAGAGAAAATGGAGAAAGACTGCTTTGAGTGTTGCTGCACCCATTATATGGAATAACTTTCAGAGGACAGCTAAGCGGCGCTCTCTTGTTTCATACAGCGTTTTAAAGAGCCAGTGTCTGAACTACTTAGGGAAGGAAATTGCAACTGTTTTAAAATGTGAAATCATTGAAATGTACATGCTTCAGTGTCTATGCTTTTATTTTTAACCGTTTATATTTGTTCTGTTTTTATTTTTGTATTGATGCAGGGCAACTCTAGAAAAGAGACCTCATCCTCAGCGGGTCCTCCCTGCTAAAATAAAGGATATAAAAAAAGAAATTAAATAATTCTTTCTTTCTTTGATCTTTTAAAAATGTTATTTTGTATTTATTGTCATATATTTGCTCGATATCGCATGTTGATGAACGTTCTTAAAGTGATTCATGGTTTAACACTTTGAAGTGCTTTATGAATGAATGATGCTCTATAAATAAACTTGTCCTGCCTCGATGTGGCATCTTTGTTTAAAATTTTAACTGATGTGGAAGTAACCTTTAACTGCATTTCTTCTAATGGCCAACAGGAAGCGACACCACAAGAAGCAAGAAGAAGAGTGATTGTGAAGAAGAGTGATTGTGAAGAAGCAGAGGAGGAAATGATCCTTTTTCTGTTCATTTTGTACCTCAGTAAGACTTCTTCTACGCAGCATTATGTTTATTTATTTATTTATTTTTAAAGATTTATTTTGGGCTTTTCGTGCCTTTAATGCAGAGAAAGGACAGTGGATAGAGTTGGAAACCAGAGAGAGAGAGCGGGGAATGACATGCGGAAAGGGGCCACGGGTGAACCCGGGCCTACCGCTCGAAACGAGAGCCTCAACACATGGGACGCGCACACTAACCATTGCGCCACCAGCGCGCCCCATTATGTTTATTTTTGACCTAACTTATTGACAGTGTATGAATTCATGTAGCTTCAACAAGTCTCAGGACAGAGAGTTTTCATGACGCACTTTTTATGCTATAATATCAAAGTCGATTTTTTTCTTGTGTAACTTTAAGTCAGACAGTAAGTGAGCCGCTCAGCTCTGTCTGTGTTCTTCAGACTTTTGTACAGTGGGTCTGACTCACTGTCTGAAGGGAGTGAACAGTTTATATAAAACAGGAAAACGCACCTGAAGAAAAAAAAAAAAGGCACCGCATATATCCGTCCATATGTCTGAAAACAAAACAGATGTTTGTTCTGACATGAGGAGAGAAAGGCCGACAGACAGGAGGTGGGTGGTGCGGCTCTGTGATGATTGTTGCCGGCCAAAGCTCGTTTGAAACACAAATGAGAGCTGGTTGTTAGAGGCTGCCCACACAGGTCCGCTGAGAGAGTACCACTAATGGATGCTAATTCTGGTTAGCACACAGAGACGCACCAAATACTTGTCATTCCTGCTTGAGGCTTTTTATGCAGCAACACACACACACAGACCGTGCACAGAACAACATATAGCTGTGTGTTCATGCCAGCTGACAACAATCAGGCTCTGTGATTCAGTGCTGCTGCACGACGCTAAGCAGACAAAGGGATTTATGTGCACTGTCTCTGCACGGGTGTGTATGTGTAGGACACAATCTATACGTTAAAGCTTCTTAGGACATAGAGCTGCCTGCGGTGACCTCACACGAGTCATGTGACCTCGCTGTCAACCAATAGGGGAGCTGAATGGATAACAGCATCACACAGTTAGGTTAAATATAGTATAAGACACCAACATCTGCTGCTGTTTTCTAATAGATACTAACGTAGCAAACGTAGAATACACAATCTATCTCTCTGTGTTGTGTGATGTTGTCTTTTCCTCCTCACATGAACTCTGTCCTCTCCAGCTGTCTCCTCCCCCCCCAGTCTAAACGCACATGTCACAGTCTGCTTCCAGCACTCTCACCTCATGATGTGGTTGTGTCCGTCGATGGTCGCCCCGTATCCCGCCCCTCGGAGGTTTCCGGAGTTTCCCACCACGGCGCAGCGCAGACAGCGTCCTGGGTCCCACGAGCCGTACGGGGACCTTCCTGGAATCACCTGTGACAAGAGAAGCTTTTATCAAAAACGAGCGCTGCGCAGATTCAAGCTACACAGGAAATTAAACACAACACACCGAAGGAGAAGGAGTCTAACATGTAGCTCGGGGCCTGATTGTAGAAACACATTCTGCTTCCCAGAGGAGGAAGACAGAATTCTTCATGAAAAATACATGAGCCCCTTCTGCCCACAAGGGAGTCAGAGTACAGGGTTTTTCAACATGCACACCTATGTGAATGCAATGCTCGTCATATTGAGAGTCAGAATGAAAAAAACATATACAGAAACATTAAAAAGAGATGATACACCTCATGACTAATAAACACAATCTGTTCCTGTCAGCCTTTGCCCAGGAGTGTAGAGTAATGACTCAGCTGATTTCAAAGTACCAGCCCTAGTGGAAAGATGAATTAATATAATATTAAATACCTGAAACAACCTCAGGAGCACCTGCTGGATACTGTGGGGTTTGAACTGGGGCTGTAACATCTAGAGAGAGAAAGAGAAGGTGTTGTCAGGGTGTGCAGTTTCTCTTCTTCAGACGAACACGATGAGACAACAGACTTTATATTCAGATGTGTTCTGAGCGCCCGTCTACATGTGCACGCACGCACTTGGCAGCATTCATGTGCAAATAAGCAGGTGGTTGTGCTTGTGCCTGCGGGTGTCTTTGTGTCAGTGTGTGTGTGTGTGTTTGTGTGTGTGTGTTGAGGTAACAGCCATGTGACAGACTGACAGGATGCAGTCAGTCTGGGCGAGTCGTGGTCGGAGGAGCAGCAGCATGGCACACATCCACTTGTCAAAGAAAGCGGAATTCTAATTAATAAAACAGTTTTTATAAATGAAATATGTCAGAGTCAGTCCACATGTCTTTCTAAGAAAGTTGACTTTTACACCGCTCTTCACCAACAACAGTGAGATGACCAGAGGTCGTACACTTCTGCTCAAAAGGAAAAAACAGAAGTGACAACAGACATGACAACAAGCATCTCCTGTATGACTGAGACAAAGACAGCTTGAATAAATAGAATAGAAGACGTCATGTGTTGAATGTTAACAGACTGAGATGAGTGAAAGAAGAGAAAAAGAGGAAGGAATATATTTGAACTATACTTCAGGTCCTGACTGTCAAAGACTTATCGTGTAAGAAACACCTCAAATGTGATGCTTTCAGTTTATTATGCGATCTATTTCTTCTTCAGCTACATGGAAAGTCCAGATAAAATGTCAAAAACATGGAGAGTAATCAAAAAAAGTGGAGAGTTGTTGGGTTTTATTTCTGTAGCAATATTCAATGAAAGTCCGTCTGAGATTCTTATCTTCTGAAATTTTAAATAGATTCATAACTTCTAAAAATCTTCTTTTTTTTTTTGCCTGATCAGTCACTCCCTGCTAAGTGACTTAGCAGGCTAGCTCTTTGACTCAGAATGACAAATGGAGCAACAAGAAATTCAGCCAGTCTCACAGTAGATCCTGAAGTATGTGCTAATTCAAAAATAGACTTTGAATCGTGAATCCAGAATCCAAAATAGATTCTGAATCGAATCGTGAGACACCCAAAGATTCCCAGCCCTAGTAGATTCAGCTCTTGTAAAGCACATGTATAGCTGCTTGTTTTCTATACATCTGTTTTAATTGAATATCTGAAACCTCATGAATTAATGACAAGCTCCTTCAACATTTAATTTAAAACATTGACCAGTGACTTAGTCTGTTGAATCATTAAATTCCCTTAAGATAAACTTGGTCAAACTACAGAAACAACTATTCTATATCTGATATTTTCTTTCCAGGTTTGCCCGTCCGCTGCCGAGCTTTTACTCTCTGTCTATTTCTGCCTGAATTGAGCAGAAATTCAAATGAAAGGTACGTTATGCTCCCTTCAGATTAAACATTGTGTTGCAACAGCCTGAAAAAGCACAGAGATTGAACTTTTATTTAAAAGTCTTTCTGACTGTCCAGCCATGGAAAACTGACTTTATGCCACAAACAGGAAAACACAGTTTTTTCAAAGGTTTGGGGACAATTTACTAAATATCTTAAGTCAGTCAGAATGTGTAATTCATAGAAAGTGTGTTATATTATTCATCATAAGATGTTTATGTATGTAAGATACATAAGAAGCATCAAGGATGTGTTTCACTTTATTATTATTTTAGTTTAAGAGGACCTTTAACTTTGTAAATGTTGTTTTGTATTTCTGAACACAAACAACAACATCAACAACAACAGTACATTAAACCAAATTCAAAGAATGGCATAATTAGATTATTAGTAAGTTAAAGGATGTTTTGTATTTATATATGATATGTCGCTCATTGCATTTGGAAATTATGTTTTGTTTTTAAATAAAGCTGGGGGCTTTTCTGTAGTATTATTATTATTTGGCTTTTTATGCCAGAGAAGGAAATCAGGAGACAGAGGGGAATGACATGCAGGAAAGGAGCCACAGGTCGGATTTGAACCCGGGCTGACCGCGGGACATAAGCACTAACCACTAGGCTACCTGCGCCCCAAGCAGTGTGCTTTAGACAGTTTTTACACCAGTAAAGACTAAATTAAATTCCAAGTATTAAAAAGGGGAAACGGTTTCAGTAAATCATGAAATCATCCTTTAAAAGCGGAGCGTTCTAGTGCAGACATCAGTCACTTCAGATCGACAGAGTGCGCGTGTTCTTACAGTAGGAACATTTGTGAAGCCACATGTTCAGAATCAAGAGTTAAAATGAGTCTATCTTTGGCTTTATATATTTATAAGTCACAGGTGGCGTTTTAGAGATCCCTGTGACTTTGATGGGTTAGGGTTAGGGTTGATGCAGTTTTTATAGATAGATGACACCCGAGCTGAGAAAGAGAGAGAATACGTTTAAACAGGAAAACAAAAAGCATTCTCCAGTTTCCACCTCTTCCAAAAAAAGCAGCCAAACATGCATTCATGGTTGTAGGATAAAGTGAGCACCTGCACAAACACGTAAAATTACCCTAAAAACACAAAGTCTCATCAGGAGCCTGGCACTCACTAAATGCTTGTTTTCGCTCTGTAACCGTCTTTTCCACTCCACCTCTCCCCCTTTCTCCCACACAGTAATCTTCATTTTGCACTCCTTTGTCACTCCTTCCGTCTTCACCCACCATCGGCCTTAATTCTCATTTCCCAACACAGATCTCATTCTCTTACAAATTCATTCACACGTCCTCTCCTGCAATCTCTGTGCCCTCATGTCTAATTCCTCCTCCTTCATTTCCCTGGCTCCCTCTTTTGTTTCTTCTCCCCCTCCTCCTCCTCCGTCTTTCTTCATCTCTTCATCTCTCTGGGACTCCTGTGCACCATGCAGCTCATCAGTGCTGATCAGAGACCCTGCCATCCTTCTTTTTACTCTCGCTCTCTTTGTTTCTCATGCTTTTACCTCTCTGCAGTTTATCCTTTCCACCTTCCCTCGCTTTCATTTCTCTTTGATCCCTCCATCTCTTTGCCTTCCTCTGTCTCTGAGTCCCTGCATGATGCCGGAGCCAGCCTGGCACGCTGCTTCACTGTTGTTCAGGGGATACTAATTTTTTGGCAGATGTTTATTTGGCAGCCTTGCTTCTTCCTCTCTGCTGTCTTGTGACTCTAAAAGTAGAACGCTTCTGGCATCTGCATTGAAGTTATATTTCAACTTGGCAGACATCCAATACTTCCAGGAGCCACTGCAGCAGATAATGTGGAGTTTTAATGTAATTACTTTTGCAACAATGTGGAGATTTGATGAAGAAGGGTGGGACCACACATGCAGATATTGTTTTATTTACCACCTGGTTACTCTGAACTAGCTTTAGCCTGCTAACAAGCTGTGTGATCTGTGAAACCTGAACAGTAATCAAGTTATATGATACAAAATTAAGCAAATGCTCTTATAAGGATATCATTCTGGTTTGCTAATTACACAGTTTAAGGTTCAATTCTAACACTAAAATATCTAAATTAATAAAAAATTGACTGAACCGATGTTATTTTCTGTTGATGTTGAGTAATTATATTACCTCTTGTATTTCAAACAGTCATCAAAGCCAGAGAAATACTTAATTGTATAGTTGTACCGGTACGTGTCGTTGCGGCCACCCTTTACAGACACAACATGTTTATTGTTGCCATGATGTAACGTCAAACACCAGGAAGCAGGAACTGTGACTGAAAACTGCTGTACTGTTCCTGTATACTGTATGTGCTGATGTGATAAAAATGTCATGTAAATTATACTCGAATACGTTACTGTAGCTCGTAGGTAAACATATTCTTCTCCTCAGGTCTGTTTCCCTCCTTCGTCTTAACTACGGTCAACTCTGAGATCATTTTCATCGTGGGTAGGGGTAGAGTAGCAGAGAGAACCACTCCGAAACTCTTAAATAACCAGATATCTTAAAATAAAACAAAATTTCTGACCTCAAAATGTAAATGTTTGTTGTCCAACCTCCTTAGGTTATTTAAAGATCACATATTCTGCAAAATACACTTTACCATGTTTTTCTAACACTAATATGTGTCTCTAGTCCGTCTACAAACCCCCCAGTTATGAGAAAAGTCCATCCTCTCCATCTTCTGCCTGCTCCACTTTTCAGAAAATGTGTGCTCAAACAGGCCGTTTGGAAATTTTCCCTTCATGACATCACAAAGGGCAGTAACCCCTCCTCCAGCTGGGTGACACTCCCACAGCTAGGTGTTTGTTCTGCACGCTGAGTCTGCCTTCTCACCATATAGGACTTAACTAAGCCCTAGCCACCCAAGCCCTTCCAGAGAGGGGGCGTGGTCAGACACAGTTCATTTACATATTTAAAGGTACAGACACAGAAACAGCCTGTTCTGAGCAGGGCTGAAATAGAGGGGTTTATAGACATGATCAAATACAGGATCAGAATGGATTTAGAACAAGAAACTCAACAGACATGTTTTTGGGGAGCTCTGAGAATTATTTAAACGGAGGAGAATATGTGACCTTTAAATGAATTAGGAAATAGAGGTAGATCAAGGGACGCAATAACAGTCAGCGATGACATTAAACAACTGTGACGAAGGATTTTTTTCCAGACGGGCTAAAAGCGAGCAATTTACTGGAGGCACTTTCACGGCTTCTTGGAATAGGGATGCCAGTGAAGTCAGCCTCCTTCACTCTTTAACAGAAAACAGTTATTTATTCTGTCTCCAGGTTCCCGATAGAAAGAGCTAAACCCCCCTTGTTCCTGATTTCTTTTCAAAGCATGTCGTTTCTTAATCAATGTTGTCCATTTCTTACATATTTCAGAATGTCTGCTATATTCCAGTTGAATAACATGCACATTTTCAGTTTATTTGGTGCAGCAGTGTTTATTTAAGTTGTTAAATTATCGAACATCTAAAAAAATTATGGTTACATGACGCATTCATGGCTGGTGTTTGTTTGAAGGAAAAAAAGAGAGAGTCTGAAACCTGGTTGAGCTGGTTAACGGCAAGGTCAGAGTGTCTTGTGCAATTGGATCTTTTGTTCCATTCGATACAGAACAACAGAGAAGCATCCCTGACAAGAAAACAGATAAACCTTCGATCAAGGTCTGGAGAGACTCGTATGATTATCCTTCTGCATTATATCTCAGTCCTCTCCACCTTTGCTTCCTCTCGTTCATGTCTCCTTGTATCTCTCTCTCCCAGTTCATCACTCCCATATTGTGGTGTGACCTAACGACTTGGCAGCCTCCTTCACTCCTGCGTTTGCAGTTTAGCTGGCCTGAGCCTACAGCTCTGAGACCGGCTCCTGGACCTGCTCCTAATGTACACCTGAGACTGGAGACTCACAGAAACACAATCAGTCAGATACACAGCTACACACATACACACTAACTAATGGAGCTTTAATGCATCCACTCCTTAGTAAAGCTCCTCCTGTCTCTCTCGTGCACCGACTCAGGAGACATTCATGTCAGTGATTACAGACATTATGGGCATTGGTTTCAGAAAAGCTCAGTGATCAAGCATGTGATGTTTCCACAACGTCATATGACTGGCACCCAGAACATGAATTATTTAGAGGATGGGATTGGTTGTAAAAGGAGAGATCTATGATTATGATGTATCACTCCCCTGTATGTTGCTGTCCTTATAATCTCACATGTGACTGACTCATACACCCAACATACACTCACAGAAAGTGTTTGATGGTGATGCATTCACTTTAAAAATAAATGATGGAATAAAGAAATCTACACATTGTAATGGAATAATATCCTGCTCAGCACAAAACAACACAGAACACTACTCATATGATATACAATTTATTACACAACTGGGTACATACCACACATATTTCTCAACATTATCAAATAACATTTGAATCTCAGAGACGCTTCTTTGTTTGTACTTTTGTTTTTCAGAAATGACCAGGACAAACATATTGACTTCAGCTGACTTGAGTGTGAATGGATAAATAGACTGAAGAAGACAATAAAGATGTTTAAATGTCAGTATCCAGATATAATTAGACCCTCCAGGTGCCAAACTTCATGTTACATTTTACTGACCATGGATTCACTTATTGCATTAAACTGCATATGTGCTCTTTTGTTTGTCTTGTTGGGAGACAGAAATGCTTCATTAAGGTCGTCATGTTGTATTCCTGATTTGTGAAGATGGTCAATTTTACAGATTATCTATTTGACCACAGCAACTAAAAGCATAACAGGAAGTGATAGTAGGAATATATTTCAATCTATATTAGACATGATGGTCTTCATCTGGACCAACATGGCTCTCAAAATCTGTCCTGTAACATATTTTACTCAGTCATGTCACGCTCATTCCTGCCATAACCACTTCATTTCCAGAGTAGACTCTCCCGACGCTGAATAACGTCCCCAGGGGACAAGTACCTACAACTTGGTCCACGAAATGGGCCAGCTCAAGGGCCACACCCTTGACCTCGTCCTTTCACTTGGCTTGTCCCTTAGTAATTTAGAGACAAAGACTTGTGTGTATCCGACCACAAGGCGATTATTTTTGATACTGCGCTACCTCATCCAGCCTCTGAGAGCCCTCCCACCTGGTCAGATCTGGAGTTTTTCATAATATCTCTACAACAAAATGCTAAGAGGCTTTCCTGAATACTCATAGCAATGAATCTGACACAGTTCCCCTTAAACACTGATTAGTTTCTCACTCGATTTAACAAAAGTGTGTGCCAGTGCTTCATTCCTCTCAAGAACATAAAAACAAAACCCAAACATTGCCTTGGCTCAATGACACAATTCTTGCAGCAACTGGAGGGCAAACAAAATGCAGATTAACCATGACATCCTCAGAAGTCAAATGCTTCACTATCAAAGGTTAGTTAAGCAGGCAAGAAATACTTTTTTCTCAGACCTCGTTTCCAAAAATAGTTTCCAGGTTATTTAACACTGTCATTAGCCACATCTGCTAAGCCCCCCCAAAGAAAAAGGTGAGCAATTTTTTATATCTATTTTAAACAAACAGTTGATATAAACAGATTCCAAATCTCAGCACAAACTTTGAATCACATGCCATAACACAAAATGTATTTCCTCGTTGCTTTTAAAGAAAATTGTCTCCAAAATGAGGCCTACAACACGATGCTCGAATGTTGTTCCAACAAAAAAATGAACATGTTTTTAATAAAGTTGCACAGGAACTGTTCCAATCTACTTTCAAACCTTTGATAGTTCAGCCTCTTTGAAAAAAGCTTGATGCAGAGTGCTGATTGCCAAGTGGTTATGTGGCGCCCCTTGTACAGAGAGGCTATAGTCCTCATCTCAGCGGCTGAGGGTTCGAATCCGACCTCGGCCCTTTACTGCATGTCACCCCCCACTCTCTCCTCCCAACTCTTCTTTTTTTTTTGATGCATCCAATTTGACTCATTTTAGACCTATTTTGAAACTGTCTTTTTTATTGAAAGTTTTAGGAAAAAGGTTTTTTGTTGTGTTGTGAACAAGATTTCCTAATTTAAACATTATTTTTGAAGACTTTCCGTTAAAGTAGCAAATGATCACCTCACAGCAGATTAAGGCAAATGCTCTGTTTAAATTATTTTAGACCTGAGCTCAGCATTTAAAAAAATAAATCATCAAATTTAATTAACAGCCTTGAAAAGTGGGTTGAAATCGCTGGCTTGGCTTTAAATTGGATTAATTTGTATATATCTGATAAGATATTTTCTGTGAATATAGGCACATCCTCCTCGTGCATAGTAGAAATCATCGGAGGGGTGCCCCAAGGCTCAATTCTCGGACCCCTCCTCTTCTCCCTCAAATGCTTCCTGTAGGTAATATTATCCCTCAACGTCATGTCCTTTTCCATAGTTATGCCGATGATACAAAGTTATGACTACCACTCACAAAATAATCATCCCAACTACCTCAACCCACTCAGAAACTGTATACAGGCCATCAGAAACTGGATGTCAAAGAACTTTCTTCTATTAAACAACAAAACAGAAATGCTAGAGGACCTACGTATTTTGTCACATTATGTAGTACCAAAAGCTAGAAATTAAGGAGCGTTTTTTTGGCAGTAACCAGTCATGCTTTTACCAGTTTAGGTGTATTGCAAAATAAAGTCATTTTTATTTTGTGCAGATCTGGAAAAGGTCACTCAATGCTTTTATATTTCATCATTTAAACTACTTAACTCTCTCTATTCCAGTGACAATCAAAATTATATCAAAAGGCTCCAGTTAATTCAAAACCTGCACTGGCTACCTGTAAGTTTTATAGTCGATTTTAAGATTTCACTGATAGCTTTTAAGGCACAGAAGGGTCTGGCTCCTGGTTATATCACTGACCTTTTGACTTTTTATGAGCCGACTCGCAGACTAAGGTCCTAAGGTAAGGCCCTATTAAGTTGTTCCACAGTTCAGGCTCAGGAGAAAAGGTGACTGTATACAGACAGGCTTTTTATAGATCATCTTTTAGTATTTTTATCCTGATCTTGAAAATGCCTGATGTGTGAAAACATGCTGATCAACATAAATTTTGAGAGTTCAATAATCAGATGAAAGAAAATCTATAGCAATTCATTGAACTACAATCATGGGGAACATTAGCTTCTAATTCACTAGAAGCAGAGAAAAACAGCCCGCATGGCATGGCTCCATCAAAAATTCAGAGATGTATTTTTCCAGTGCGTAAGCTTTCTTTTTTCATTTTGTAACGTGTTTACTCTACAATGGAATTCATCCTCTCATTAATAGCTGTTACTGGAACTGTTCTTATCAGAGCTGAATTCTTAAATTATCTTGAACAGTTGATTCAACCAAACTGAATCCAGCGACCTTATTTGGTCAAAATTCCCTGGTGTAAATGTTAGATGAATGTTTAAGTTAAATGACGTTGTTACTTACCACCCACCAGTAGTAGACATCAGACGGCAGCTGGATGTTGTCTCTGGTCCAAACAGGTGAGATATCCGGGTCGTAGCTCTCATCGAACCAATCAGAAACACCAGGGTCTCCGACGCAGCGTGGGCAGGCACATGTCCTCTGCTGCGGGGTGTCTGGTGGCGACTGCCTGTGTGCACCCACGTAGCTCGGCACCAGCTTCACCCGTCTCGACTCCTCCCAGCCCGGCGGTTCCAGGTAGTTGAAGCCGACGCCTCCACGGAGCGAGACGGAGAAGAAGAGCGAGGTGAGGAAGACGACGGCAAGTGAGCCGAGGAGGACCCAGACTCTGCGGGAACATCTCACCTTGCCTCCTTTCTCCTCCACGCCTCCTCCTCCCCCACCACCACTACCAGCTCCACTTCCTGCCGCTCCGACCGTGCCTCCATTTAGCCACGGCCTGAGCTCGGAGAGTCGGGGAGCTCCCCTGAATGGACCTCCGCCCCAAGACCCCCAGCCCCAGCGCCTCTCCCGTTGCAAAGTGGAGGACGGGATGCGGCCCCCCCATGGCCATGACCCCAAACCTAGGCCTGCCACTGTCCCTACTCCACCACCACCACCACCACCTCCTCCTCTGCCTACTCCAACCCCACGCAGCAACCACCAAGACCCGGTCAGTGTGATGGGTACAACCCCCCTGACTCACATAAAATCACTCACTACGTCAGACTGGTAAAAAACACACACACACACACACACACTGACGGAAGACAATGTGTCAGAGTCAATTTGTCTCACAGTCAAGCTGTGCGCTCAGCGATGCTCCTACGCTTTCTCTCCGTCTCTGGCTGGAGCCTCTTCTTCCCTCTTTCTCACAGTTATGTGCTTGTCTCACATCACAAACAAGTGTTTCAACACACACACACACACACACACACACACACACACACACACACACACACACACACACACACACACACACACACACACACACACACACACACACACACACACACACACACACACACACACACACACACACACACACACACACACACACACACACACACACACACACACACACACGAGTCGAAGCTGAATTACACCCAGCTGTACTCTGACTGCCACGGAAGTCCTTTACCCTCAACGAGAGGTGATCCCTCCTTCAGTTGTGATTACTCTCTGCGTTCTCCACCTTTCAATCCTGTGTTTATTTTCTTCTTCTTCACTTTCTAACTTTCTCTTCTCTGGCTCCCACTCTCTCTCTCTCTTTTCCCTCTCTTTTTTTTCAGATTAATTGCAACGTCCATCTTCAGTGAAACCAAGTGCACAACGTGAATGGCTGCAGCAGGTCCTCCATGTTTCTCTCTGTCGCGCTCGACTCTAGCATTCCGATTTCTCTCTCTTTCTGTCTCTCTCGCTGCACTGAAGCGACGCAGCCAGAGAAAGCTGGCAGACTAGTTGAGAGCAGCAGAGAGAGGGAGAGAAGAAGAGAGGAGGAGGAGGAGCGGTAGAAGGGAGGTGGTCTACGCTGACCGGTGTTCCATCACATCTCTAGATACCCTAGACTCAAAACATACCTATTTTGTCACTTCTCTCCATTTCTGTAAGTTTCCACAGATATGTGAGGTGTTCTCAGGTTTTTTTTTTCCTCTCCAGGGTTACCTCACACAGCCTCTCTCCGTGTTTCACAGAGGCTCTGAGACCTGCTCGGTTTAAAAAGCTGCTGTGTCAAGTTCAAAGCACTGCACTGTTGCTGTCCCTCTCCACACTATCAGTGACACAAAGTCAAAAAAGTTGGGACTGAAAATTATAATTCTTTGGGGTAAAGGATGAAATCTTAGAGGGATGACGAGCGAAAAGAAAATCCAAATGCTCCTGATGCTGTTTCGATGATGTGCAGCTCAGACCGTCCACACGTCAGGTGTGTAGCTGTGCGTTCTGCCGACACACCGTCCACAAAAAAAGTCCAAAGAAGTCCTTTCTTTGCTCCAATCTGAAGCCATAGAGATAAAACAATAAGAACAAAACAAGATCACAGAAAATTAAAAAAAACTGTGAGGTGTAATCAAAGCATCACAAGCGGATTGTACAACTCACGTCCAATGGGAAAGATTTTTATGATGATGGTTTATCCAGAGGTGACACTGTGCTCAGAGAAGGCGACAGTGGTGGTTGTAGAGATGCCCAGAGGATGTGATGGGAGGGAAAAAAGACTAAACCAATCAGCCCCAAAATCTCATCTTCTTTCCAGCTGGCTTTTGGGAGGGCGATGGGAGGAAAGGGTGGGGGCTAGTACTGCGGCCCACAGTGCAGGAGAGTGTGTGTGTGTGTTTATTTTTGTTTTCGCTCCCTGTGATTTAATGTGTGTATGGTTTTAAGCTCGGGTTGCACACCGTCTGCCAGTTTGCTCTAATTTAATTGTGTTCTACAGCTGTGCTGCAGTGTGTGTGTGTGGGTGTGCGTGCCCTCTTGGCTTGCGGCAGAAGTTTCATGAGGCTGCAGAGCCTGAGGTGACTGCTGTTTAGCTCTAATCTCCTAAAGTGTAATCCCAGGGTAAGACCCCTGCAGCACCCACTTAATGCCAGCTGTCTGCGATGCACATGTTCATCTGATGACTGATAAAACACCTGCTTTACTCACCTGCACACACACACACACTCACTGTGATACTGCTGCATTAACAAGCAGCTCGGAAATACGTGTGAGTGTTTCTAAGGCACAAACAGCTGCTCCCTGTAGCTTTTTACTTCATGATTAAGTGTATAAGTGTGTGTGTTTGTGTGTATGTTTGTGTGCCCTTCAGGGGGTTGACAGCCATGTCTGGCCTAAAGTCTGGCTTCCTGTTCCGAGAAGAAACTGTGGAGACACAGAGAGAGAGAGAACAGACAGAATGTCATTTACTGCCATTAGCCTCATTGACCATATTGACATCTCTAATCCTCCTCTCCTTTTCCACTTTGATCCTTTCTCCCTCTTATCTCCAGGCAGACTGTTCTGGCTCACCCCAAACTGTCTCTTTCTTCAGTTTTTATTTGTCTACAGCAGCTCCTTTTTCCTCTCTGCTGCTGCTGTTTCAGTAAATATCTGCTCCATTTCTTTCCTGTTTTCATCTCATCTCACTTTGTTCTCAGTTTGTCTTTCAGAGAGTCCATCAGAACAGACAAGGTCAAACATAAAAAACCCACTTCTGCTTTGTCCTGTTTTTGTGTAGATTGATTTTTTATTGAATTCTTTCCTTTAAAAAAAATGTAATTCATTGCAGAGATGTAAATATTGAAGTAAAGGACCCAGATTGAAAGCTTCGGGCAGAGTGCTGAGCAGACCTCTCGTACAAACTGGCCTCACATCTCGAGACGATGATGCATCTGTGGGGAATATTTTGTAAGCGCTGCACAATCTGCTGCTATATTATGTATCACCACAGTGTTTATTTTGTCTACGTGTGTAAACAAGTTTAGCTTAAGTTCTCCTGATGTATTAAGGGCTGTTTATTAGGATCTGATGTCCTGCTGTTGTGATGCTTACAAAAGTGTGAGAAGTAATTCAACAACAACTGTGGAGCCAGTGTGGAGATACAAGGTTGTACTCATTCTGAAAATATCATCACTTTAACAAGACATCTGGTATTAAATTAGAGGAAGGTTATGACATTTTAAGCTTTGTCGCCATGGCGATAGAGACTGTTAGCGGATTAAATCAAAATAACAGGTGTTTTTGTTTGTTGAATGGATTACTGTGTTACTGGACAAAAGACAGAAAGTGATTCATCTTAAAATGATAAATGATAAAAAGTAAGCAGATGTTATTTATTCTCACATACTCTACTTTTATAAGTTCTAGTGTGACTGTGAGGTCTCTATAAATGACGTCTTTATTTGTGCAGCGGATGTCTTTCTGGCTGTCAGTATACAACTTTAATTTCCTAAACTTATCCGTCAAACTATTCCCATTGAATGATTGAAGAAGAGTGAGGTAAGGAAGACTGAATTAGTCAATCTTCAGGTAAATATTTTTGGGCTTGCTTGAGTTTTTTAGCACGTCCAAAGTCCAAAATGTCCAAAATGTCCAAAGATAATAATCGCTTCTGATTTGTCAGGATGCCATGCTGCTTCTCTTGCTCTAATTTGGAAGTTAAAGGAACATTTTGAGGTGATCAGAGCAGCAATGATTCTATTTTTCTCCTATATTAGTAAATAAATCAAGAGTAAAAACAATCAATAAATGAAAATAGTCTACTTTTAAGACTTTGTCTCCCCCCCCCTTTGCTTCCATTTTACAAGCCCCTTATTTTTACTTTAAAGAAACTTTAATTTTGTGTCATGCTTGGCATCCCGTGTGGACTTGACGTTACCTTTTATCTCGTCTCTGTTCTTTTTCTGTGTGGAAGTAGTATTCTGTTATAAAAAAAGATCCTCCTGCTGACTTATAATTATCAATGGTCTCACTCATGGTGAATCCTTTCAGTGAAGATGTCTAAACAAAAGCTCACTCCATGTGAACTTCAGCGCCCCAATTATTGGGACTTGCTGGTGGCGCGCCCTAACCATTGCGCCACCAGCATGCCCCATCATTACTACTCTTAAGGCCTTAAGTCCACATCATGTTACTCAGTTCGCTCCAGTTGGCCTGCATTGTCCACTCGTAGACTAAATCATTTGGATATCATATATAATACAAGTTACAGTCTTCACCATGTGACCCATTCACAAGACTTTTGTTTTGCTACCCAAAGTGCATCTTGAAATGTGTAACAGCAGCTTCAGGTCCGCTGCTCCTTCAGCGTGGAATCTGCTGCAGGAGAATTTGTGTTTGATGCCCCAAACTCAATAAAAACGTCCTCCAGAAAACTATAAGAACCAGAGTTCTTCCCTCTCTTCCAGAATTTAGGAAATAGATCTTTAGCCACTTTGTTTCGAAGTCTAACTGTTTTTAATGAATCACAGTGCATAATGTCACTGATTCTGAGTGTTTGTTGTGATTTTTGCTTGTTTTACTATGTTTGTAACCTCGACTGCATTGGGAATGAGGGAGAATAAATAAAGGTTTGAAAAGTATGCTGGGGAAGCTGGTATCTTCGAATTAGGGCTGCTCAATTATGGCAAAAATCAAAATTGTATTATTATTTTGATAGATATTGATTGATATTCAACATGATTACTCGTTGATTTTTCGCATCACCTGCGTTGATCGAACTTAAACCCTTTAACATACTGAACACTTTGAAGAACAAGAAATGCATCTGAATAAATAACTGAATAAATACATATATATATATATATATATATATATTGTAATGACATAAAAAGTAATTGAGGTAGTGCTGATGTACTCTTGTGGCGTAAATAAAACAATAAATGCTTTGAAACGTTTGACACACAGGACAAAACCTTCGGACAAAACAAGCGCAGCACGGCACGCTGCACAGTAGTCATTAAGTCTCAATTATCTTGTTTTCATGATCTCGGGAAGCCAAATTGTAATTGACACTCAAATAATTACCCAGGCACCAATTAAAATGATGGTAAAAGTAGATTGAAGGCATTGGAAGAAGATGCATCCGGTTGTAGATGCTTTGACTAATGACTTTCTGCTCTTTGACTCAGGATTGGTTGATCTGTGTTGTACGTCTGTAACTAGTTCAATTGTTCTGCTGACCGTCTTGACCAGGACACTCTTAAAAAGAGATTCTTCATCTGTATGGTGCTTTCCTTTAAAAAGGCTGTGACGCTTGATCCAAAGGCAACTGGACTTGGTTGAAGATCGTTGGCTGAGTTGTAGAACTAGTTTTGCCTACAGTTGTTAAAATCCCATCGTCTGTGGGTCATTGGGGTCACATGTTCCACGGTGTACATAGACTGTAAATATTAATGGACGAAGCCTGAGTGACATCCAGCCATCTGTTATGGCTCAGAATGTTCATCGACAGCAGCCGCCGTGCTGGAAATCCTGTTTCAGTCTAACTTTCAGTCAAACTGACAACAGACTGAGAGCTGGAGCTGAGGCAGGTTTTAAGCCCCTTGTCGAACCGTTACATGGCGCCCACCTGTCAATCATGTCAGCTTTGCGTCAAAATCACCCCATACAGTGTGTGCTTCTGAAGACAATAACTAATCAGACCTATTTTGTTTCTTGTATCAGGCTGTAAACATGTTTATTTATGCTGTAAAAACTGGCTCTTTGGCATGTGGTGTGTATTTGACTTCCTGTGCTTCTGCAGCAGCTTCAAGACACTCAACGAACTGCAGGACTTTGCAATTCCGCATTGGCTTCATTTTTCCAGACCGGAGGTTGCCACTGGGTTGAGACTTTAGTTGTTTTCAAAGAGAATTAACAGCATTGTAGGTTGGTGCTAGATGTTGTCACAGACTGGTTAAGGGATGATTTTCCACCTTGACACAGATGGCTTCTTTGAGACCCCCTCTGAGGCCAGGATGTGCACTTTGTCATCTTCAAAGGAGAGTTATTTGCCTCTGCTGTGCAATGTGTTTGTGTAGTGGTTGTTAAATGTATAAATCTCTGCATTCCTCGCTGGATAGCATTTAACAACATTGCTTTGCTCATGCCTGGGCATTCTGTCCCTGGGGTGAACCAACTTCTGCCTCTAGGTGTTGGATGGTTTGAAGTGTACCAGGATATTGTGTCTGTGAAATATCCTCGAGTATATAAAAAAGCTTTCATCTGTATTGATTGTAGTCTGTCTCATAACCCACTAAATACTATTCACCGGAGCTTTAACCTTGGTTCACTGCTTCTGTGAAAAGCAATTTAGGCTTCAAGTGACAAAAAGCTCCAGAAATCTTTTGTCTAAATACATCAATAATCTGCTTCATTCCTCGCTTTCACCCCAGAAACCAACCCATCCAGCATATCTATTTCTGATACATTGCCATGGCAGCCAGCAAGCAATGGAAGGTTGTTACGGCAACGCAAACCACTGAGTTCCCAACCTTGACCCAAAGTGAGAGAACTGTTTCTCTTTCTCTGTCTTTTTTTTATTTTATTTTTATGCTCGGCTTCTATATAAGCTGCAAACATATCATGCCTTCCAAGACACACATGTCCTCCTCCTCCCGGAGCTGTCCTGGTGGTTTCTCATTACTCTTACGGTTTGTCACTGGATGTTTGTCCTCTGGGTATAAAAACCACAGTAACAAACAGTGGTTTGTGACATTACTACAGCTGTCATCTGAGGCCTAACAAGCTGCAGATTTACAAGCTGGTCGGTTTTTCCACACAGTTGCACTTCTTTCAACTGAAACTTCTGTGTTCTTCTTGTTGTCATTAAAGCCAAAGGGTATTATTAATTGGAGCATGAAGCCAGTCTCTGTCCCTTCAGATATAATAAGAAGTGCATCCAGTGCAAACTGAGGGCAGATTCATTTGTCTTTTTCAAGAAAGCCAAAGACAAATGCAGATCACAGTTGATCATTTGAGTTGTTTATGGGAACAGCTGTCAGTATTTTCCACTGTTATCCTAACTGTCCTTTACAGTCCACACAGCTGTCAGTGAAATCTTCTGTTAAATGATTCATTGCATCAGGTTTTTTCCACCAATCAAAGCTCATTTCTACACAGATTACGGTTCATTGTTTTGCGGGGCAGGAGTTAATCTATAGTGCAAAATCCTACATATGCTGCAGCTGTAATGCTACATGTTTTCCACCAGCCAAGAGATCACTTTTACAGCAGCAAAGGTTTTGTATTCTGCTCATTGTAACATTTCTCCTGCACCGTTCACAGTCCAACTTTAACTGGAGCTCAACACTTTTAACTGCCAATCACCTCCCCCATGTTCCCTACCTTTTGCTTTCTCCATTTCGGTGCCTCAGGTCCAACGATTATCCCGTCATTCTTCT